CATTAGCCAGGGTCTATAATCACGGTCCTTCTTCGCTAGTCTTGTCACATGTTGAGTCAGCATGCTTTAGAGCCTCCAGGATTGCTTGGCAAATTTCCATTCCCCAATATCAGAGTTTGTTTGACTAGGGTCCATGTTTTCCGGCACACCTTGCACAATGATATTTCTTCCACGGAAAAACTTGTTGCGAGATTCTTAGGGATGTTCCGGATGAGATCGCGCTCAGAATACGGTAGGTCGGGCAGTATTCTTACGTTCCCATCGGATTTCAGTGAATGACTAGCTAGCAGGGCATCCTCTACCTCGACAGCATTCTTAGGTGTTACGCGAAGTAGCCTTGGGGGATTATGACGCTTATATTCCTTTCCCCGAGTGAGCTGTGTGACCGTCAAAGGCTCTGTTCTAAGAAGTTCAAGTTTCTTGTTCAATTCACCCCAGAGCATCCTGTCATTTTGCGCGTTCAGGTTCAGCAACTTGTTATTTGGAGGTCGAGGCACGTTTGTGAATCCTAGGCTCTTTGATTTCCGGGCGGACCTTCTTGGGGGTAGACTGTGCGAACAAATCAACAGTTGTTTTCCGCACAGCACCTGGGATGTTCAGCTTAGACGGTGACGCCTGACCCTTTTTAGCTCTTTTAACATGGGTCCAATTACTTACAGAGTTTTTGGGAACCGCTGTTGCATTCAAGGACGTTGAGCCGGGAGACCTGAGTTAACTGAGGGAGTCGGTTACCGTCGACGTAATGATGGTGCTGAGTTTCAACATGTCATCATTAGTGCTAATGCATGCTCCATGGATGGTAGACCAGTCGACATTCCTCTTCCTGTTTTCATTGCGCGCCCTAATTTGTCTATTCGTTTTATGACTGTCTTTTTCCAAGTCTTCTGACAACTTACTCCGCAGACCTTTCTATAGGACAATGATGTTACTCAGCATGAACACATTCCCACTTGTGATCCGACTTGCTGAGTCTGTTGTAAGCAGTTGCTGTGAGATCTGTGTACGCTTCGTGAAACCAACCTTTGCGGTTGTCGCACTGCATGCCATATGTAACGGCGAAACGGCATATAGGTCGTTTGCATGAATTTTTAATGACTATATTGACGTAAACTGTTATGGATGCTAGTAAAAGCCTAAGAATGAACAAAAATACATTAAAAAGCGCACTAAAAGCCGGCGAAAATGTATAAAAATGGATGAGATAAACTGAACTAGCCTTTATTTGAAAACTGGAAAAAAAACCGAATAGTAAGCTGAGGCAAAACTATTAAATTGAGTGAAACTCGAAAAAAAGTAATCTATCGAACGTATAGCACAGAATAGATTGTTTCGATCAGAAACGGTACTTTTGATGCGTAGGAACACAGAAAAAGTTTGATAAATGCAAATCACTTTAAGGCTTCACTTCTGATTTCTGGTTTGATTTCATTTGGTATGTTTCTATTATAAAGGTATCACGAACAAAGGCGTTGTCGAACCCAGTATATTTTTACATATTTTAAATAATTTACATGTAGTAAATTAAAAACTTTACGCCGCCTACTTGGAGTTTTGCTTTCTAGATTGATTTAATCTGAGAATTGCATTATTGTCTACTGTCTTAGTCATTGGATATTTGTGGGTTTTGCGCGTTAATTGTGTTGACGCTTAACTTACCTTTCTCTTCTACGTAAATCCTCAGTCACGTTACTTTGAATTTTCCTCTAGTACGCAAAGTAACTTCTGGCCATACACGATCCTCTAAAATTCCGTGCGAGTAAGTCACACGTTCTCTGTATTTTATTTATCGTCACTAATTTATAAGCCGATGCTTGTAGTTCAAGGAATAATTTCTACGGACTCGGAACATCAGTGGACAAATTAAGGCCATTCATTGTAGATGTGACGGAAACTTATTAAGTCCACGACTTCAACACTACTCCAAAAGTATAAGGATACTACCCCTTAAGAAGTGATAGACATAGATGTAGGAAAGGAGGTGACGTTCTTTTATACATAGCCGATAATATAAATATCCGCTCCTTTGTTCGGAGCTTGTGAAGCCACTAGCTGTGAACTCACTATCGGATGTTGTGCACTTATACTTGGTGCCATCTATCACAGCCCAATCTACTTAGCTGATGGTTTTATTTTAGAGCATATTCAACTACGGAGTGCAAATATCAGATGCTTGATATTAGGAAAATTTAATACACCTGATATTAGTTGGACTAAGATGGACTTCGTAGGATTATAGAAATTAATTTGCCCTATAGATATACCACTAGAACCGTGAACGCGATACTGGCGAACCCAGAGTCTATGTGAAAGCCATAATCAGAAGAAGGAAACTTGGCTTTAAGCTTTATCTATTTCTAAACGTAAAAACAATTAGATTAGTACAATAAATAAAGGAATTACAGTCATTAAGTGGAACACACAAACACACCGAACAGTATTGCGTGTCCTATGGAAATGAATAAAAATTATGAGTCATACTAGTATAATAGGATATTAATGTCACATACAACAGGGATATTTTAAGGACACATCAGAACAGATCAACCTTGTAAACGCTTAAAAAACGATTTGATTGGTTGGTTATGCACATAACTAACAAGGATCTATAAACTCTTTTGATAGCAGGCTCATGATAACGGTTATGGAGCATGCTCTATTAGAGTATGTATCCAAACCTACACGTTTTGGTGTGAACCAAGGTTCTCCTTTGTTGGACTTTGTAATCACTCATGCGACTGAGGGTATTGCCAACGTAAATATTCTTCCACCATTAGTGAATAGCTATCACGCTGTTTTGTTATCCATATTTCGAGCTAGTGACATGATATACGATCATGTTAAGCCTCGCCCAAACGTATAGAGGGCTAATATATAAGCCGTTAGGATTGGTCAGCAGATACTAGCTCATCAGTTGAAGAGGCATGGTCTATATTTAAGGGCAAGTTTAGTTCGGTTACTTCCTCGTTTATACCATACCTGGTACCACGTAGACCGAACAACAGTTCACCGTGGATAACTAAACAAGTCAAGGAACTCCTTAGATGTAGGAAAAAGCACTAGAATATGTTAATCTCTATGAACAGTACAGATCCAGTTTTTGTAAAAGTAGGAATGCTTGTAAAGCGTTAATAAGTAAGATTAGATGGTCAAATGGAAAACAGTTGGTTAGGAACTGTAAAAATAGTCCAAAACGGTTGTTTTCGTGGAATCCCATCACTTTTGTTACAAGAAAATCCATTAACATTGGTAAGAGATGGTGTCAAAAAGGGTGTAGCTTTATTGGACTATTTCAGTAGTGTTTTCTATCAGTAACAGGGAACGACTAACGATTCATTGTCTAAGACTACTTCGGTATTTCAAACCTGATAAGTTCAGCGGGCTTGATGATATCCATCTTAGAATTATGAAAGCTTTATCGAATGTAATCGCTGAACATATAGCTATACTATTTGATATGTACCTTCTGCAGTCCAAAATTTTAAGAGACTTGAAAGACGCAATAATTAGTCTAGTGTATAAGGCGGGGAGTAGAGGTTTAGCTGGTAACTATCGACCAGTTAGTCTGACTAATGTAAAACTAATGGAAACGATTATTTGGATGGTTGTTATTAACTATATGGAAGGACATAATCTTTTATCCAAGGATTAACATGACCTTCAGAAAGGCTTATCATTTTTGACAAATCTCATTTCAACAAATGATTGGGCTGCGGTAAGAAATCGAAATACTCTTGTAGATGTGATTTTCATAGATCTAAGTAAAGCCTTTGATAAGGTCTCCCATTCAGGTTTCAAATTAAGACTGGAAAGTTTTGGAGTTGATTATAAAGTCGTAGACTGGATAAGCGACAGCAGACAAAGGGTGAGGGTAAATGTGGCACTCTCGTCGAGGGAACGTGTAAAAATTAGAGTTCCACAAGGCACAATCCTCGGTCTTCTTCTCTTTTCGCTTTATGTAAATGAACTACCAACTGTAGCAAAGTCATCCGTTCTACACTTCGCTGACTACACGAAGATTTGGAGACCTATACACAGTTTGTCAGATAAAACGGTATTACAGGATGATCTCGACTCATTGGTGGCATGGATGGTCGGATGGTCACTAGAAATGAATCCTGACGAGAGTGTGGTGATGCAATTGGATAACTGTGATGATTCGTATCACTACACAATATGTGGATTCGTGTTATTCGAAGTAATAAACTATGGAGATTAAGGAGATATAATAAGCAATGATCCCAAAACTACTAGTAACTGTAAAGCTGATGCTGCAAAAGATTATAAGGCATTATGGGCCATTCGTGGGTCTTTTCAGTATTTGAATGAAGAAGTGTTTAGATTATTATACCCGACTTCCGTGCTACCGCATTTGGAATATGAGGTTCAGGCAGCCAGTCCTTGGTTCAACTATGAGGACGATATGCTGTAACGAGTCCAGCGACGAGGAACTAAAACGGTAAATGCTCTCTCTGGCCTATCTTATGGAGACAGAGACATCCCAATTTACTTCCGTTACCTTACCGTAGAATACGGAGTGATTTAATATTGGCTTATCGTATACTGAACGATGACCTTGGTATTAATATGTCATATCTTTCCCTTTAGTCTAGGACTGATCATTTGAGAGAACATTCGAAAAAGTCCAAATGCCGAGAACAAATCGTTTACGTCTGAAGCTCCGTTTCTCGCACCGAGTAGTGAATTACTGAAATTCTCTGTCAGAACACGTAATATTAGCACCTTATGTTGATATATTCAAAACGAGATTAAACCTCCACAGTGTTACAAACTGCAAGGATGATTACTGAATACTGAAACATACCATTACAAGAATTACTGCCCATACATTTGGCTCACTAACTCACGAGAAGTTTAGACTACAGAGACTCCCGCACATCCTCAGCCTACTGTCTTCAAAGCACACATCTGAATCTGTGCATTGCCGATGAAATTTTGGGTTTTGAAAGTTGCGGCGGATCGTCAAAGTTAGCGTTACTGGAATGGTAAGGTGCTATGGTGGTCTCTAATCTTAGTTTAGACTTATCAAGAAATAGCTAAATATGTGCTGCCAGGTTCTCCAGATTGGTTCATGTCAAATGTATTGGCAACAACTTCGTGGGAAAACTTGGACGATGGAAGAAATGCCTTAGTAGCTTTTTCTTCTCGACCGTATGTACATATATTCTGTATTAAAAATGAAGTTCACTCCGGTGATAAACATAAATACTCCTGGTCTTATGTTGGCCAACTCCAACCCCACCACGAGAAGACGTCAGCCATCACATTTGACGTCTGTCTATCTTTAAGCTTGGTTTCATGTGGTCTTGATGGTTTGGTTCGTCGCTGGAAATATTCACGCCCAGATTGGGTGCTTGAAAGTGAGTTCAACGTGCATGGCGTACGAGGAAACGTTAATCCGACTGCGTTGAGTTCCTTTTCTCACCCTTCAAACCAGTCGTATAACTTTGTGGGCACAGATAAGGGGTTACTTATCGTTTGGATCGTTGACGGTGAAAAAATAGGACACATTATTTGTCCAAAAAATATGAAAACGACTCCGTACTGGTCTGTGCATTGGAGAAATCAGGACTTGATTATTCAATTTTAAGGGTTGCTGTAGGATACAAGAAAGGACTGGTTGGCGTTTACATGTTCAAACCATCCGATATTTCATCAGCTTCGAATCTCATACAAATAGCAAGATTCTACGCTCACGAGAGAGATGTCTGTCATGTAGTCTGGAGACCCTGTGTTTCGGATTATGTTAACAACCCAACAGAGCTTCTTACATGTGGACGTGATCAAATGGTTAAGGTGGGTAGCTACCAAAGTCTCTATTTGGAGATATTTTCTGCGTAATTTTTTCAGTTATAAAGTTGAATTGATTATATTTGTCACAATCCATTAATTTAGATTTTCCTCTATTAGTTGTATCTAGTCTCGTATTTCTAATCATGTTCGTGTAATAGAATATTGAGTCATCACTACATTCACATGGCTGAAACACATGAATTTTGTGCAGTAAGATATCTTGGGCTTTACAATAAGTATCTGTACACTTTAACTATCTCTTTTATAGGTTGTATGTAGTTTATCAGAAACAGTAAAAGAATATCAATACATATTGTTATGCAAATACTAGTTTGACCGTTGATCGGTTTTAATAGGGTCATTCATTTGTCATTTGGACCTTTTGTGCTACAGTTTACTTTATCGTAAAAACGTTCAGTATGGTTTAGCTTTTAATGCTGGTCGAAACATTAGGACTTTGTCTTACGATGTGAATTTAGCATCCACTTTTCTCATGTTGCTATTATGTGAAGATATAATAAACAAGTTTCTTCTAAACTAGCTCCAGAATTAGTTTCTCTACTTTTCGTGGTACTCTAATGGTTCTATCTACTTGGTACTAAATGACTTTGGTTGTATTGTATGTGCCCCGAAAATCTTGAATAAAAGTCGATTAACGTATTGACTATAAGATTGTTTTTAAAATATTCTTAGGTCGTCACCATCCTTATGGCTTAAATAACTAGGTTTTCACTTAGGGTCTAAATACTTGGTGTATAGTTCATGGAAAGCTAAACTGTAAAGACTGCCATTCAGAATTTGTATTTCATCGTTAAAAAATCCGAAACACCGAACAATTATTTTTTTTCAGAACAGTTACAGATACTTCCGTGGCTTGCCATTTCATTAGTATTTCGTATCACTCAATCAGTCAGCTACAACTCCGGACTAGGCACATATCTGCATCAGTCCGAGTTGCCACACCTCATTATCACAACAAGATGAACACCAGATTCATAGAAGTAGTCACTTCAAAGGTAGTAATATATAAAAGAAAGATTTCATATAAGGGTATGATACAGGGTGTTACTTCCTTGATCTGTCTACCCACTTGTGGTGCTGAGGATAGCTTGTATAATCTATATTAAGACCTTGCTTAATCTTCAAGGCTAGTACGCGTGAGTTCGAAGTGGGGTAGAGAGAAAACTCTTCTATCACCTGAATGGCTGACAGTCATGCGAGTGGGAGAAGACAAGTCAACAGGGACACTACTCGATTTATTCCTAATTCCGATCTGGCTCCCGATTCCAGATTAGTGTAAAAAGGTACATGAATAAATAGATGACTAACCCGACCACAACGTACAATAATTAGGAAAATACAATTATTTACAAAACTGGGGATTAGCGTAGAAAATAGAGAACAAAATAATGCGTTTAAATTACAATAGCTTTGGAACAAAAAGGGCTATAGCATCGAATCATACCTCAAACGAAAGCTTATGATCTGTAAAATAGACTAAAGACAAAAATAAGAGTTACTGTTTTACAAGCTCTGAATTAAATGCAATAACGTCCCGAAAAATAGCTTCCGTAGTTCGTCAAGGCTTCTTGTTTCTCTGTTCACATCACAGAGAGACAGCATTAGTTCATAGACACGAAATATATAAAGCAGTTTTAATCCCAATTTAAGGGAAGTCAAGGGGTGTGTACACCTTCGCCATTGTGATCGATCCTCAGCCATGTCACCCAGAATCTCCAAACATTGGTTACGATAGTCGCGCGGACCCCAACCAAGTAATCTGCATCTACCAACATAGATCAAACCAGAAGTTAGTCATTTTATTTACTATGCCACGTTTTGGATTGGCCGCCCCTAACTTTCTTCCATCCATCTCCAACATTAGTCAGCATTGCGCACACTGGTAATCGGTGTTCAGTCATGCGTATCACGTGGTCCAACCATATCAGTCGGTGAAAATTCACAACCTCATCATCTACAGACTAATAAAAGAAACAAGAATTAATGAGTCAGGTGTCAGTGAGACTATCTCGGAAAAAACGACACTCACATCTGCTCCTAGTCCAGACGTTTAGAACGATGGGCGGAACATTTTAAGGACCAGTTCAGTTGGTCTTCAGCTATTCTACAAATGCCCTGGTACGGCCAAGAGTGGAGAGTCCGCTCTCCCTCTCGAAATGCTCTCACATGGCCACGCGTATATAGCCTCTGCCAAGGAAGTCCTACTCACTGACTCGTGGCAGGGTGTTGTTTACGAAAATGAGAGGACGAAAAGCGAATGTCCGGCGCTTTAACCGGATTGGTGGTCATGGAAAGTCCACATAGGGGAGTTGGGAAACTCTGATTCCAAACCCATGGTGCACATGAGCTTCAGTATCCTGAAGAAACAAATGGCATATGGACCAGTTGTTGGCCACCGGCTACCATCGGACTGCATCTCCTTACGATGCGCCACTGCCTTGTGGATCAGACCTTCGGGTCGAAGGCTCCGGGTGTGGCCTCCTTAAGAAAACCACCTGCTTCGGTTTGGGCACCCGGGTAGTACCCCAGCTCTCATACATATCAAATGAGATTTGTGTGGGGCATATGTATTTTTTGCCTCCTTGTTTTAAAATAAAAACTATCATTGTTGGACGCCGATAAGCATGTTTGTGTTCGTATATCAGCGTAGGGTGAACTTTCTACATCATAACTCAGAAATTAATCTCCAAATTAGACATGTGCTGCATGGGTAATTACTGTTATCGGATCTAATAACAGACCGCTGATATTCTTTATCACTGCTGCACTATTGTATATAATTATAGTCATGTATGATATCTCCTATTGATGAGTCTTCTAGACCTTAGAGATTAAAGAATTCAGAAAAGAATTTTCAGTGGTATGCCCAAGGTCTTAGAAACAGAATTCTAGCATCTTGATTTGAAACGACCGTCTTTCACATCTTTAAGGATAGCTTACGTTATCTACGCACCAACCATAAAAGGACAAGTTTGCTTCCAAATACGTCCCTTCGTACTCCCCAAATTTTGTAGAAACAGTGAATAGCTGACCCACAGTGAGCAGGTAGTTTTTCATCCAAGTAATGGACATATTGATCACGTCAACCTAAAAATCCTGGAACATCGTTACCCTTATTACACGCAGAAATCGTGAGATTGTTTGTTGAAGAAGGGTGTGCATGATAACTTTATTAATATCTTAAAGTATTTATACCTCAGGAGAAGTGAGGATATGCTACTAACATTCTTCATTGTCCCAAACCAAGAGTGGGGTTTGGTGGTGTCGTCTAATCCAACCATTCCTCTCTAATTTTTCCCTCGATGACATTCTGGAAACAACTTTCAGGGAGGCACGTGGTGATGGTGTGGACTTGTTTCCTGGAAGAAAACTTAATTGAGTACGTGAATGACAAAATCTTTATACGAGATAATACACAAAAAATCTAAATCTTACTTAGTATCAGTAAGTATCACATGTAAATCACGTCTTACGAATGTTAATTGTTTTTTCAAGGCCGAGTGAAGCTTATTAGTGTTGTCATCTCGAAACATTGGCTTCATTGACTTCAACACGTTTTACGAGTTTTATTCTAGCGACTTCCATGTCGCTCATTATTTGTCGACGTGAGACTGGTTGGTAAAATTGGAGAGGTGATCATTTTATTAATTGTTGTAGTACAGAATTAAGCCATCTAGTAGTGGGGTTTGTCGGTTCATCATATTTTCCTTGTCTGGGATCCTGGTGATTGCACAACTCACTGACTTGAGGTGCTGTCAGAATATATGCCGGTGTCGATCCTGCTGTAGATTTCCAATACGATTTCCGTAAAAGATGTCCTCCTGAATCTGCTTTTGACTGAACTGTTTTTCCTACTATACATTATTTTCGTTTATTTTTTTTAAAAAAATTATAATTTTTTTCCGTTCATTATAACTTCACATTATCTCTTTGTTTATGTGGGACATACTTTTTGTTACTCAATTGTACCGAAATTTGTGTGTTGGATGAAAGTAAGTAGTACTCGTATTTACAATACAGTTTTCTCACTACTTAATTCGATGTTTTGTTCATATAAAGATGACGAGTGTCCACTTCACAATAATAGTTTTATGATTTTTAATGTTATATTCTTTAGCGACCTCGTCATATAGGCCGATATTTAATGTAATTTGTCGTATTTGGTCTTCTATTTGCGTAATTCTTTGTATTAGTACTACTCATTTTATGATGAAAGACACAAGAGATAGCTTTATAAATACAGTCTTTGAATCTATCATTGTGAACTTTCCTATTAGTTAAGTTTCAAACTGTTTAAATAATTTACGACAATTTATATGTGAGAAGCTGGTTAACCTAACTTAAATTTAGTACATGTTATGTGCTGACATTCATAATTCCTTGAAAATATTTAACAATCTACCCCTTAGGCCTTCTTTGTCTTTATCTACCTGCATTGTAGTAATAGTTCATAGATCATGGACCCACTAAGCGTGCATACTCTTTTTATTAACATTCTAGATGTTCCTCAATATTTGCTTTTCAAGTCCAATTAAAATATCTTTTTCAGCTACCATTGATTGTACATGTACATAATAAATGTCTAACAATCTTTAACATCAACGTAAATACTTATTTTGTGAAGTGTAGGTTTGAACTCAGCTTCGCCTACTTCGGTTTGGATGGTGAGGTAGTATCATAGGCCTTCACATAAAGCATTACTAAAGGCTGAATATATAGACTTCTATTTGGTAAACAAGTATCATTAAATTTTAAAATTGTGAACTAAATCTGGTTTTCAAAGAAAATAGAATACGTTGGTTTAAGGATCTTCAGTCTCATTTTTGAGCAGTCTTTTTGTAAAGCCTCGTTTTTTTATGCGAAATCCCTGGTCAAGGTGATTTCTCACTAAGACCCTGTGTGAGGTCGCTTGATTTCATTCACAATAATGCCCATTTTCTGTCCCCTTATTTGTAAAAATCTGCTTATTTTCGCTATGTTATCGAAAGCCATAATATCCTTAAAGAATTTACTCTTAATTGCTATTTGGCATTCTCTTTTTGATCTCTACTCTCGTTATGCTTTGTAGGGTGTGTTTATAATCTAAGAAACTACTTGGTTATATTACAGTAGGTATCGTAACCGGTCTAGGGTGTAGGTGGTTACAGATGTTTTGTTCCAACTCAAAATCAGGACGTATTTATCTTCGTCTGAACATTTAGAGGTGAACTATTTTATGACTTTTTCAATCCATTAATGTTCTAACTCGTACTACTATATTCTTGTTAGTTTACTCATGGTTGTAGATCGATAAGCTGGGTTCTTGCCTTTTTTTTCCAACTCACCTATTTTTTTTCTGATCGATATTGCTAACCCGTTCAGTCCAGTAGGGCTTTAAAAATATAGAAATTTTCATTCCAGTACATTTGTCCTGGTTCTAGATTATGTTATTGGTATATAATTACTTAGATCCTAGTTGAAATAACGTCAAGTAACTCATCTGTTTTTATAAAAATAGACCTTGGTAAAAGATACCTTACTGAATTTGAATTAGACGCTTACATCACGTTGTAAAACCCACTTAAAGTTATTTTCAAGTTCAATTCTTAATTTGTATCATCAAATGTGTTGATACTTGTCTGAAGAAAACCATTAATTAAACACCTTCAGTAGTTGTGATTCTGTGCTCTGAAATTTTTACTGCTGTTCTCAGTAAGTACTGATAACACAAAGTAATATCAGGTCTTAATGGTCAATTGGTGAGTATCTTCGTGGCTAAGCCGATACCGAAGGAACAAGTGCCGATGGACTGGGCACATCGTCAAGATTCCAAAGAAAGGAGATCTGATCAAATGTGAGAACTACAGAGGCATTACACTACTGTCAATACCAGGGAAGGTCTTCAACAGAGTGTTGCTGAACCGGATGAAAGATGCAGTAGACGCCCAACTTCGAGATCAACAAGCTGGATTCCGTAAGGATCGGTCGTGCACAGACCAAATTGCAACACTACGGAGTTCCTGAGAAGATTGTCAATATTATCCGCAACTCATACGACGGACTACAATGCAAAGTCGTGCATGAAAAACAGCTGACAGATGCATTCCAAGTAAGGACCGGAGTCAGACAAGGCTGTTTACTCTCTCCCTTCCTTTTTCTTCTGGTGGTCGACTGGATTATGAAGACCTCAACATCTGAAGGAAAACACGGAATACGATGGACAGCTCAGATTCAGTTAGACGATTTGGACTTCGCAGATGACCTAGCCCTCCTATCGCATACACACGAACAGATGCAGACAAAGACAGCCAGTGTAGCAGCAGTCTCTGCATCAGTAGGCCTGAACATACACAAAGGGAAAACCAAGGTCCTCAAATTCAAAGAGGAGAACAGCAATCTAATTACTCTCGATGGCGAAACTCTGGAAGATGTAGAATCCTTCACATACCTGGGAAGCATCATCGATGAACAAGGAGGATCAGATGCAGATGTAAAGGCAAGGATTGGCAAAGCAAGGGTCGCATTCCTTCAGTTGAAGAATATATGGAACCCAAAACAACTTTCAACCAATATCAAAGTGAGAATCTTCAGTAAGAACATCAAGGCAGTTCGACTGCATGGAGCTGAAACTTGGAGAACTACAACAACCACAGTGAAGAAAGTACACGTATTTATAAATAGCTGTCTACGCAAGATACTCAACATCCATTGGCCGGATACCATCAGCAACAGCCTTTTGTGGGAGAGAACAAACCAGCTTCCAGCTGAAGAAGAAATTAGGAAAAGATGATGGAAATGGATAGGACATACATTACGCAAATCGTCAAACTGCATCACGAGACAAGCCCTAACTTGGAATCCTGAAGGGAAGCGGAAAAGAGGAAGGCCTAAGAACACATTACGTAGGATAATAGAAGCAGATATGAAAAGGATGAATAACAACTGGAAGGAGCTGGAAAGGATTGCCCAGGACAGGGTTGGATGGAGAATGCTGGTGAGCGGCCTATGCTCCTTCACGAGGAGTAACAGGCGTAAGTAAGTAAGTAAGTAAGCCGTTACCGGATTATCTATTGCTTTAATAATACACTTCTGTAACTGATATCGATGGTACTTTCTCGCAAGATCGAAAATGACCAGTGGTTTAAACAAGTTGAAATGCACGTTTATGCTAATACAAGCAAATTGGCAATATCGGCAAGCTTCACACTATAGTTGTACCCGAAGCCAAGTACACGTCTGTTCGTTCAAGTTGATCGATTACCTGGGAGTCTATATAGTCAAATGAAACTAGTCTTCCCAATAAGGATCATGGTAATTAACTGTGTCTATTTCTCGCGATAAATTATATTCGTTACTGTAACTATTTGATCATTTATCTATGGTTTTATGTGGGACAAAAGTGTGGTGTCTAATATTTAATTTTTGTTACATCATATTTTATTTTATACAGTTTTACTTGTATAGCTTATAGTGCTATAGTTTGTTTTGCAAAACATGTACATATATAACGATGATTGATAAGTAATTTAAATTACCATTAACAAATAGGTATGGAATGTATCTACCTCCGAATGCTGTTTTTGTACCAAGGTTCCTGGTCAGTCACGTTATCATGCAAATGATTCTGGAAAACGTTCAAATCAAAAAAACAATGTTAACGGAGCCCCATGGATATCTGCTTGTTACACCATAGGGGCGAATTTGATGGTGAATATCTTATTTTCGGGATTACGGGGTGAATTATTCCGTTGGAACTGCTCAGACACACCTACTAACATAACACCTGAAAACCAGGGACATTCTATGCTGATTTTCTCAATGTTGTTTGTTCCTAATTCTCCTGGGCTAGTGATTACAGTCAGCCAAGATAGAGTTCTGATTGTGTGGGAGTTAGTTGAAGAATCCCTCCCGTTAGTTGTTTTACGACTACCAACACTTTCTGCAGGGGTGTTTTCTCTAGCTCAGTCATCGTTTAGTAATAGTCCTTTAGTCGCAGGGCTTTCAGATGGCTCGATTTTGTTTTGGAAAGTTTATTCATCGAATATGTATGATGGAAACAATTCCTTTGATAATCAAAGTAAGGACAAATCTATTTCAATATCACCTCGAGGATCTCAGTCATCGCCTATAACTGCTCTTGCTTGGCATCCTTTACCGCAGTACGAAAACATCCTTGCCTATGGGACCGAGTCCGGTTGTGTGGAGATTGTCGATATTAACAAGCTACAGAAAATGCAGAATCAAAAGCCGAAACCACAGTTGTACGCGTTCGGTTCGACCGTCTACCGAGTTGCCTGGGGGCCTGTGGTATTTACGGGTTCACATCACAAAAATGAACAGATAGAAACTAAAAGTCATTCGGAACCTGATAATTCTGCAGTCTTATCAAATACAACTGTGGAGGAAAATGTAAAATGCAATACAGAGTCCGGGGTTAAATTTCCTTTCTATGTTTATAGTGTAAGTAAAGGAAAAATCCACTGTCATTTTGGAGGCGGTCGCCCTCCAGTTGAAGTTAGCATAAAGTTTCCTTCTCCTCCAAATACCACTGAGGAAGATTGGAAAACCCTGATACGTAGTGATATAGCATTCCGCCCTGTTAGTAAAACTAAACAGTTATCAGGCGATCCAGTTTCTGGTACCTTCGATTACTTGATAGGTGTGGGCTATCGTTCAGGTCAAGTTGATGTTTATGGTTTATCAAATTCGAAACTGTCGAATAACCTGTTCTTTATTTGTCGTATTGTGAGTCATTCTAAGTGTGTCAATTGTTTAGCTTGGTCATGGGACTATTACTGGCTCGCTATTGCGTCAAACGAATCTTTTATAACTGTTACTGATCTCAAGATACAACTATTTAATGCTCTCAACCAAGAACAACATCTCAAACCTGTTCAGCTGTCTACTTGTTTGGCACGATTAGAAGGTCATTTCAACAGAATCACCTGTTTAGACTGGTCCCCACATGATCCTTTCCTCTTACTGTCCTCTTCTTTCGATGGTACAGCTAATGTTTGGCGAGTTCATGCTAATAATATTGAAAACGATACTCTATCAATATCTAATTTTCGCGCACACAGATTGCGTCTTTTTACATGTTTATGGAGTCGTCAAGAACCTGATCTTGCCTTTAGCGGTGGAGAGTTATGTCTTCTATTCGGTTGGCGACCCTCTGAACAAATCCATAGCCAACCACCCCATAGTCGCCGACATCGACCACCAACTATCAAAAGACTTGTAAATAGTGATCAGGAAGAACTATGTAATGGTGGTATTTTGGGCGAATCTCTTCAGTTGGAAGCAGATTCTTTTATTAATTCCGAAGCTCTGAAAGAAAAATCAAATAAAGAAATAATGTTAGATAATGATGATAAAGTTATAAGGGATTCTCACAAGGAAAAATCCGTTCTATCTCAAAATTCCTTAAAAAAAATCAGTTCTGCTGGGACGGCAGAAAAAAGGAAACGACCTGCTCTTTTTCCTAACCTATTTCAGTTCAGTATCAATAAACAATGTGAGCTTAACTTGTATCATTCTCCGCCTTTTAATATGGGAACGTTTCTTTCACACGTTTTAAGTGTCTCTGACTTCATAACTGAAAAAGTGGATGACGAGAGACTGCCAACTGATTTGTTGATTCTCTTACCAGAAGTTAGCGTAACCAGAACATGCCTTTTAAAGTATTTAAAAATGGAAGCATCTCATCATTTAAAGTTATTTCATCTCGGTCAACGACCAAACAGTTTAGTTCATTTAGATGCCTATTGCATCATACTTTTATGGATAGGTTGTATATCTAGTATCCCACCTGTTATGTCAACAGAAGGTCACATGCCTTTTTGGCTATTATATGCAATTCAACTAGCTCAATCAACTCTTGCATATCCTGGAAGTTACAATAAGTTAACCGTATCAAAAGAAAATCCTGTCGTGGACATTGACTTGCTTGGTGAAAAGGTGAGTTAACGTGTTAACATTTAAATTAATTTGTGCGATTCCAAAAGCAATACAATTTCCGCACACACTTAAAATGCTTTCTTTGAAACAGTACTTTAAAATAGTGGCGTAACGATTTCAGTAGCCAGTCACACGTTTACGAGACTTGAAATGTCATTTAATGAAAAGGGTTGGTACTTCTTTATTTATGCAATGGTTAGCACGAATTTAGATGCCTAAATGTTTAAGTCATGCCATCAAATCACCCTAAAGCAAAACTTTGTGAAAGTTTTATATCTGTACGGATCGAATTAAGAATATTGACCGTTTACTATGTATATTGGTCCATTCCGCTCCGATATTACGATCGTGTCTGAAGTTACATAGTATAACAGCACTTTCAAGCAAGAATGTATTACGAAAGAAAATTTAACAACTTAATAGTTGTATGGATTAAATATTTAAGTATCACAATTTATCATTTTTGTCTTACGAGTCACAATTCCTTATGATTCACACTCGGCTAGAATTAGTGACTGTCTTTATACAGTGACTATACATCGCTTTTTAATAACCTTTCCCTGTCTGTAATTCATTTGGATACTAAATTTTATGTAAAATCTAGTTCAGAAAAGAGGATTTTATGGAAATCTAATATTTTCACATACCACCAAAATGTCTTATCTCTTATGCGAACATTGTGCATTCTGTTTTCTCCCCCTGCCAGTCAAACACATTAGTATAGTCCCAGTTCCTTCTGTCTATTTTTTAAATTGATTTTTCGTATTCTTATTAGTTTTCCGTATGAGGTTCGATCTCGTCTCTTACACAGCAGAAGCTGTAGGAATTCGAGCTAAAAATCCAAGTCTTCGCACTCATAAATATGTAACATTTTTACCTCTTCCTTGATCGAATCGGCCTTAATAAAAGATTTTATTTATTATTATTTCCTATACTCTTTGTTCGTTTATTTTCCATCACCCTTTTTTCAAGTGTACGGTTCATTGTCCAACTATATGGACACTTCTTACTATGTAATCTTATAGTTTTTATGAATATTGTTTCAGCATTTATATTATTCAAGTCATTAACCTATTTCCCATTACGGAACATGGATTCTGTTATGTCCCGACAAGAATAATGAATGGTAATTTTTGGATCCATTTGTGGACCAATACTTTACGTAAATTTTTATCGTATAATTGTTAGTTAACTAAACTATTTATACTCATGTCTCTCCTATCATAAGCTTTATTTTAACTTATGAACTGTTATTATACGGTTTTCCATTCTTGAATTATTCCGTCTGTTAATCACTGCCTCTCTCATTCACATCCACTTTTGGCCAAATCTTGTATAAATGTTGTTTTCTATTTTATGGTACGTTGTGGTCTGTTTGATTGGTATATAAACTCAGTAGATTTGAAATATTGATTCATATCGCAGAGGCTCGGATTGGTGTTCTGGACTCAACTGGCTGGGCTAGGCAGGAAGCAGGACCAATCAGGAATCTAGGCTGCTCATACGGATTTACGCGTCATTGATCCTGTCGATAAGTCACTGCCATCTAATCGGCGGTCACAGATTCAAGCCTTGTTATTCTTGTCACAATTAGTACACCTGTCAACATATTATCGATTAGTACTTTTTAATTATTATGTTTATTCATGTAATACATTCTACTGTTGTCACTGGCTCATAAACTGCCTTGATTGGTTTACTAATTCAGTATACGCATATAAATATTACTGCATATTCGAGTAAAACCTGATAAGGATCTTATTGAAGACAATATTACTTGTTTATATATGTTGTTATACTTTACAATATGGGAATGTTTTACAATTTTCGATATATTCTTATACGATGTTTAGTGGTTTTGTTAAACTATTTCAGATTTTGTAATATTTCTACTGGATGTAATGGTTTTAAACATGTGTCAATAATTGATGGCAATAAGCAGAATTTAGCGTGCTCTATTCTTTTTATTTCAATATTATAGACTTACATTAGCAGGTAATATAAAGGAACAGGTAATAGGGTTTTATTCTTTGTTTATTTCATGTAGAGTATTATTCCAAAGAGAGGTTTCGGTGATCATGGGAAAAAAGAACTTGAAACATATATTCGTGCTTGTATTAATTAACTGCAGACAATATATTTCATTCAGAATGTCTTCGTGTTGAAAATGGCACACTGCATTTTGTCCAACTTGTGAAATTCCTTTATTAGTTGACCAAATAAATTTGTACATTGGATAAGTACACATGAAAAACTAAACTTAATATCGCTGAACGACTGTCGGGTATATGAAGAGTGACAATACGTACAACCAATGTAATTTAGCAGTCATCTAGAAGTTTGTGTCCCAGACATGTTCCTATTGTTTAAATGTTGTTTATACTAACTAACCCGCCAAATCTTTATTAGTGATTGTGGGTCGGAACTTGCGAAACTAAGTGGTTGAAAATCCTGAGTGACTTCTATGGAATACTATTATTTGGTAATTACCTCATCCTGACCAGGTATTTTCGGAAGTGAGATTTGGGTTATTTAGGCACTAACGTTTTATCTCGTTTTTTCTGGCCGTTGTATTTAGTATAAAGATTAAGCTAACTTAATAGATAAAATCGTTCAAATCACTTATATTATTTGGCTGCTTACTTGAACCTACTGGTGTTTCCAAAAGTTGAATTATTGTTCACATATATCACGATTTTGATTTTAAAAAATCAAACCTTGTCAAAGTGAAAAACTACTAACTTGTGTAAAATGTTAACCTAGATTTGTGATTTACGAAGTTTACTCTGACAACTTATTTTGCTGTGACAAATTAGAACTAGGATGAGTGAACCTGAACTAAATTTGTTGAGTTTATCAGTCAAATCAAGGTTTTTGATTAAAATAGCATATGATTGGTGAGAAGAACGAAGTTAATACAGTTTGCTTAGTGTATGGTGAGTCAGTGAGTTAACATTATTGTTGATATCACAATCCTTCTCACTAAACATTATGTCACTTTTTTTTCAATAGATAATGGGTACTACAGTACACACCTATAATGTATCCTAAATTAATATGTATAATCTTTTTTCTCTTTTATTTGCTGTAATAGGTTGCTTGTTATTGTTTCTTCATGTCTTTTTCAAATCAATAGATTAGGGATATGCAAACTGCTAGTCCTGATATTCTTGTGTCTGTTACACTTCTGGTATGCGCACATCGTGTCCAAGAAGCAGTTGAATTATTGTTAAGTTATGACAGAGTTAAAGAAGCTTTAGTTCTCGCTCGTTTACGTTTGAATCCGTCCGAATCTTGGAAATATGCAGAGAAATGTATTACACGACTTATTGAGCGTTCTTGTTCAAATGAAAAGTCGTTCTTTTTTATTATATACAATATTGGAAAGAAGGAATGGCTGAATGCCACTAATATGGTTCACCGTGAAGTTGAAGTTTCCAATTTGCGACCTGGTAAAGAAATTGAACAACTTTCGTGGTGTTGGATTGGTATTAGTCTTTTACTTAATACATCATCCTTGGATTATTTGTCAAGCGAATGTCTTCGTTTAGCTTCAATGTGCTTAACGGTTGGTTTTAAGCTATTTCCTACGGAAGCAATATTCCTTGAACGTTGGCTTGATGCTTTTACGCGTCTTCTGTCGTCTGAGACAACATCTTGCTCCGGTTTGATTGGCAGTTTATTATTGTTAGATATTGGCCAGATGACTTCTTTTCTTATGGCTAATTATCATCAAGAGGAATCTAACATATCAACAATACCATACGAAAATCATAGTGATAACTGGATGAAATACATAAATCCCGATTGTATAACATGTTTGGACCGGTTAGTTTCAGATCGTCAACCGTCTTCATTATGGGAAGTTTGTTTAACAAATTTCTGTGTAGACTTTCTTTTGTTCTACTTAGTGCATAATCATGTTCCTCCAACTAAATTACCATCGGATAATTCACTGACAATTTATATTGATCGATATGAGTCTAGTCGGAAATCATGCGAGTATATCAAACCAAAAGAAACAGCTTATTTAATCAGTCATTTATTTTCAACTTATCAACAGGTTTTGGTGAATAGTTACTCCATTTCGGATAACAAGTTATGTTTTTCTCCTTCAGATAGTGTGTAAAAAATATTGTGATTATATATATGCCCCTTGAATATTTTGTATACTTATCTTTATAAGCTTCTGTATTTCGGGAATTTGTAAGATATGCATTATGTACAGGATAAATAGCAGAATAAATATAGTTTCTATTTGAGATTTTCGGTTTTCACTTGATTATAATTTCGTCGTTTTATTACTTCATAATTAAAATGACCTGATTGGAACCTGTTCGAGCTAACCAGTTTGCTTGCTTGCTTTGTTTATGTATTTGATCTTATAACACTGGATACTCTTTTGTTACCAATGCGTTGCTTTATGTGAATTTTAACTCCATCTGAGGAAAATTTGTGTCTTACATATGGCTATCATGGCTCTGAATTCCTTCATCCCTATGGGTCTAATAGTTGAAGGTCCGTTTGGTCCAAGGAATAGGTTCAGGTTTTGAGTTCTGACGATAATGTAGGTACCTTAAATTAACTGATCCTAAATATACTGGAACATCCATCTTCAAACCCAGTAATGACTGCCTATTAAGCTGTCTTTTATCCTGACAAACTTGGATTTTGAAATGAGCTTACTCATTATGCTGGATATTGGGTCAGTAGTACGTACAAACGATTCAATTAGTATGCAACAATTTCATTGATTGTATTATTGAATTGTGTACAATTCTAGTAAATTGTTTGTTTCCTAACTTCAGTGAAATTTAGAACCACTCAATAAAGTAGTCTGACGAACGGTGTTTTAATCTGCATAAGACGGGCAAAGACTATTTCCCACCATCTATGTGTTTCACCCGGTTATCCTATCAATGTCCACAGTGCTTGGAGATTTTTATTAGGTATTAAAACATTAGAATTATTGTGGTGACCGTAAAAAAAATTTTATCCGTCAAGTCATCGAATCCCGAGTAAACAGATACTTACAAATAAGATCGGTCACCAACTGCCGAACTGTTAGGTGATTTAAACTGTTGTTAACATAGATAGTATCTAATCATGGTAGTGTATAAAACGACTGATAAAGGGTGAGAATAAAATTCACAAAGCAGACAATAGTCCTTCAATTCTCTCCGTCATATCAAGTTTAAACTACAGAAAATCATCAAATATTTAGTTTATTCAGGTGTCTAATGATCTCAAATTTTCAGTTGTTTCGATTGGTTTCTATTCATGGTGATAACTAACATCTAACTGACTAGAAAAACTTCCTCTATTAATAATCTAGGTCTAATACTCGTAGTTTTCAAAACTAGTGTCCTATTTGTGTATGAGTGACTAGTCTGTAGAGTTGCTGTTTCACAGTTCTGCTAATAAGTAAACAAAATGCAGCGACTGACTAATAATTACTTAACCCTCATTTACTAAACGTTGGAGCAGAACTTTGTCTCAGTAGATACGATATATATATGGACTTCAACATGCATCGAAGTTGCCATATCAGCTTGAACTCTATAACTATATACAACGATATGTAGTTATTAAACAGCCTGTTTATTAAGAGAGCCACAACTTAAGTTATTAAGTTATTTTCTTCGCATTCAAAAAGCTCTAATGTTTTGTATATTATAATTGTTAACTTGATTTTCGATCCTTCAATCAAATTTACAGAATTTAGATATGTATGGAATTTGGTGTTCATGGAATTTATAGGTTTAACGATGTCACTAAGGGTGAGTGAGTTTACTGGTTTAAATTTCTCAATGAGTGGCGTGCAATCGATTGTTGGATTTTAACAAATAGACTGAAAATATCATATCAAATGGTAATCACTTAGATATGATTCTTTTGATGAAAAACCGTTTTTTATATCATTGGTTCACGTAGTTAAATATAAACAGTAGTTAGCTTGTCTTGCTTATTATGAGTCACTTGAACATATCTTTTCCAAATGATTCTGAAAACATTGTTTTGTAGGAAGATGGCTTCATTTAGTGTTATTCGTGTCAATGATGTTAACAGAAAAAACTAATAGTTTGCATCAAATTTACTTGGTTCTTACCTCCTAAATTAAATTAGATTGTCAGTTGCTAATATTACGGTAATCTTCATAAAAGCAAGAGTTTTTCGGTTAGAATTTTTTTGTATTTACGATGTCACTTTAAAATTCGGTATTACTTACACTAGAATAAATGTTCGATATCTGGAAGCGACCAAATCCGTCCACTTCAACACTTGAGGAGGTTCAAAATAAGATGCAGTCAGGAATGGCATCAAAAAGTGTAAGTACTCATCACTCCGCTTGGGAAGAAGAAACTACTTACAAGGAGACTTTAGTTGAGTGAGTATATATAACCTCACTTTTAAAAAATGTCATTTGACCACTGTTGTTAATGTATTTATGAATAACATAGTTTAATTATTCCTGGGATGTGGTGTAGTTTTTGTTGTTGTCGGGATTAATGTAACGTGATTGTTTGGTAATATGAATAGGTTCTTATACTAATTGGGTAGTCATCTTAGTGTTCTTCAAATAATCATATGCGTCAACAGTGGAAATCATACCGTAACATTGATGTTCTCATTATTTTATTAATGTCAACTTTCGTTGCACCTCTGGTCCCCAAAATCTTAATTCCTGATAGAGAAGTTATCGTTCGAACTGTTATATTTCACTTGAAAAAGGGTAAGCCTTTTTATACGCAGTGTACAACCACTAAACTCCAACAGCAGTTAATCTCCTTGTCATTGCATGGATGATTGTGCTAGGATAAGAAAAATGGTATATTTCTTGATTATCTACCTATTTGTACTGTTATAACGCTCGGTTTTTACTTCGTCTACACGTATGGGGACGTTAATTTACCTTAAACGAAAATCTACACTAGATTCCCTCCTAGTGTCAATTGTACAGGACACCAACACAACTCAGATCAAGAACACGTGATTAGCCTGACTAGAACGTAACTATATTCTCACATCAAAACCAGACACAACTTAACAACAACGAACAATCAATAATAATTGATAGTAAGGATAGGGGAATATATAACTCATCTAACACCTGTCCGACTATCTACAAGTCTGACTATACAAAACCAATCATTATCATTCTCGTCCACACATCACGGATCGTCGCGGTAGTTTCATTTTTGATGTATCACACTCATTGTTATTGAAGTCAGTTATTTGACTTCCATGCATCTAAGAATTTAGTAGGGGAATCGATTTTATTGTCTTGTATATGCTACTATTTGAGTTTGTTCATGCTGGTTTCACAACTATTCATCCTGCCGTTGTTTTTCCGATAGGCTGTTTCAGACATTATGTTTTATTTGTCAAGCTTTCCTTTCCAATTAATGAGAGATTTAGACATTTTCGGTAAATCAGAAGAGGTTAAATATGTCGATTCTGTTTTTATGCATAATTTTTATCATGTAATTTACGTAGCTTGAATTAATGCATACATAAATTGTTTTCTACTGCATAGAAATTTTCAAACCATTTTTATAGTTATATTCTAATGGATTTCTAATTTTTTTAAAGTGTAGAAGTATGCCTCATTCTTTGGGACCTACGCGCGATTTTCATTTAAATTTGAATCATAAGTTTTTCGCTGGCTGCTTTGTGCCTTACTCTATGGGTCTATCACCAAACTGATGACTCAGTAGTAGTAGTCCAGTTTTTTAGCGCAGCTTAGATTCTCGGTGTAAACGGAGCACAAAGTCTAATGAGTTTCGATTTTATGGTACAAAGGACTGGTCAGTCTAGAAAATAAATTTTAGGGGTAGATTGGCAGACTGTGTCCTCGCATTTAGTATCTCTGAGACTAAATTTAATTCACTTTAATTTATCTGGTTTATTTTTATTATTTATTTATTTATTTGAACACGTAAATATTGGTACAAATGGGCACTAAATATATATGCGCCACACAAAACAGTAAGAATGGAAAGAGAGAAAAAAGGAAGGTAAAAAGTGTAAAGGAAAAAAAGGAGAACAATAACGACGAGATTAGTGTAGGGTAGTGTAAAATAATATTAACAGTAATGATAATAATAATAATAGTAATGGGGGAAACGGAAAGGTACAATCAAAAGAAACCTTTCAGTTAAGGAAGATACAACCACTTTTTATGAAGAAAGTAAAAGAAGGTTACAGCAGGATAGCCACTGGCTTCTATTCTGAGCCATATCTGATAACGTCTCTAGCCACCGTGTTGCACCATCTATCAGACCCCAGGCAGGGAGTCGAGAAGGACCAGCAGAAACCAGCCCTTTGCAACTTTCTTTCATACCACGACACCATGTCATGCACTGACCACCTCTCCGCTTCTCCCAACCAGTCCCAGAGTCGGCAAATAATGCGCGACGTGGAATTCTCTGGGACGACATTCGTAGAACATGTCCAAGCCACCGAAGTCGGTGTTTCAAGATGGTGACACCGATTGTATTATCGTCTCTGTGCCCGAACACACGATGCCGAACCTCTGCATTACTAACATGGTGTTGCCACTGGATGTCAGCAATCCTTTGGAGACAACGATGATCGAACACAGGGAGTCGTCTAACGTCCTCGATTCGGAGAGACCAGGTTTCACAAGCATAGAGCAGAACTGCTCTCACCGACGCGTTGTAGGTCCGACCTTTTACAGCCAGACTAACATCACGAAGGCGCCAAAGACGGCCCAGATTGGCATAAGCCGTTCTGGCTTTCACTATACGTGCATTAATCTCATCACTCATGTCACCACCAGCACTCATGCAGCTACCCCCACAAATACCGTGGTATGGTCGAGAGTGGTGTTGGCCCGTCCTCCCTCTCGAAATGCTCTCACATGGCCACTGCCAGGAAAGTCCTACTCGCTGCGTTCTCGTGGCGGGGGTGTTGTTTACGAAGATTAGAGGACGAAAAGCGAATGTCCGGAGCTTTAACCAAACCAATGGTGCACATGAGCTCCAGTATCCTGAAGGAACAGATGGCGTATGAACCAATTGTTGGTCACCGGCTACTATGGGACTGCAACTCCTCACGATGCTCCAGTGCCTTGTGGGTTAGACTTTTAGGTCAAAGGCTCGGGTGTGGCCTCCTAAGAAAACCACCTGCTTCGGTTTGGGCATTTGGGTGGTATCACTGCCCACACACAAATAAAATGAAAATGACGATGTTTACTGAAAATTCTATTCACGATTCGACTAACCAACGATTCGCATTATTATTATTATTTACCTTATCTGGTTTGTACTGGTAGCTTAGTGTTTTGACCGGTTGTATTCATCATGCGGTGCTACTTGTCTATATATATATATATATATATATATATATATATATATGTATTGGTATTTGTCATTAAATATAATTTCTCATATACTTAGATCAACATCTTACTCCTTTACTTAAGTACTGACAAAACGAAACGGCATATAATAGTCTATCAAATAAATTAGCTTTCACTTCACTCACTTTTTTAATTACGAAACTCTACTCTACAGGCTCTTATTTTAACATAGGGGCTACTAAATTAGTAATTCGTTCTGCGATTAGAACTTTACTCTTATGTGCATGTAACTAAAACATCAATGTGATTTGGTGCCATCTCATTTAAACACTAGTAGGCTAAATGTAACTGCGCGTTTATCAAGCACTCAGTTCGAGCGGGAATCTTGAATTTCTTGTCACAATTCGGCAATTATATAATTTTTTTAGTTGATCTTTTGATTCCAAATTTTCTGAGAAATAGTCAATGTAACCTCAAATCCTTTGGTTTAGTGATATTTTTTATAAGCTTCATGTCTATTTATTGTAAGCATAATATTTTTGTTACTAATATGATATTTTGGTGAAAATAATTCTCAACACACATTATAATTTCTAAGTTGGTTTTCATTTCTACCATGTACCCTTTACAGGACAAAACGTACTGATTTTACGTATGGCGATAGGTACGTTCTTAAACTTAATTGCTTTTTTTATGCCATTTTTATCCCATCTAAATATTAGCCAAAATTAAATTAATTAAACACCGAAGATCTATTAAACTAAAGTTAGCTCCCAATCCCAAGTATATAGTAACTTCAGAACAGATATTCAAGTTTGTGATGAGAATTCCCGTTTTTAAATCTAATCATTCATTGCTCGAATCTTTTGACACCTGCGTTTTCATAAACTAAGTCATGCTTTGTCGTTATTTAGTTGAAAGACGGCTTACTGGATTATGAAGATAAGGTTTATCTATGACTACTACCATTTAGGCATATGGCTTACAAATTTACATTCAGAAGGTAATACTTATCTAGTACTCTTTGGTTTTTGAATTTTATTGAATATTCATCAGTTTTCACTGAAGATTATCTCATACTTCATAAATACCTACTAGGATTTGTGAATAAGTTGTGTTTAATAAGTATTTGGACGCAAAGCAAGTAATCGAAATAGAAAGTGATTTGGGTTTTAATCTTAACTTATTTCGTAAACTGGAATCTGAAACTCGTAGATCGTTGGTTTGAATCCAGTTGCAACTCAGATCCTCTCAATCATACACCTTCTTCGTCATGCAGTGCAAAAGTCTGTCAATCACAGCCTCTTTAAATGTCGTAGTTACAAAAATTTTTGTACGGGATTTGTCTATTATTTGTTAAACTATCCGGTTGTTTACTAAAATTGTCGGAAAGCAGCGGGCTCCTATGGGTTAGCTCAGTAAATCTTTAAGGATGGTGACCTGGTTTTACTAGCCTAATTGACTGTGATATTCGCTAGGGTTTTAGGAGATAAGCATAATTCTGTCTGACTGGTCTCGACCGATAATCATTCTAGTTTATATGAAAGGAAGAAAATCTAATAACCGCAGAGTGATCGGTTTATTATGTCTATATTAGTGTCTATACTAGTGTCTCTAATTAACTGACACTCAACCAAGGCTTGTGAAAACCAAATCTTGGGAAACCATTCTGGTTTCGGAACTGGACGTGATGTATTGACCAAATATTAACTCTTGCTCTGGTTTTAGAACACAGGCGTAGTTAACAGCGTTCGATTTTAATTGCTTTTCTTGAACTTAAGGTAGCATCCAACTTTGCTGATTGTCACGTTTTATGGCATTGTCTGCCATTGAAGGACATACAAAAGAAGTACATAGACCCTGTGAAGATTCTACTCGAACACTATTGGTGACTCAACACTTACGACAAACTCTCAAAATTGTCAACTGCATGTTGTGTTTGACCGGGTTGTCCACTTTCCACATTTTTGTTTAATGTTGTCGTAGATATTTCTCTACAGATAAAGTTGTTTCAAACTTTTCAATAATTTATCTCCTATCAGGAGGTTTGTTTATGAACTCAGAATACTCAGATTGTATAGTCTTATTTGGTGCAGGCGCTGATAAAATGAGTTCTTTTGACTACCATGAACAACAAGGCAACTATGTTTGGCATGCGTTTCTCTCCCTCTAAATGCAAAACATGGCTTCAGGACTGGTCTGCATCAACTCTTGAACTCTAGTGATTTGGAGGAAAGTAGTTAAATGCATTGAGCATTTCACTTAGAAGTTTCCTCAGTCCTGATGAGATGACGTCTGACGAAATCTTGAAACGAATTCACTAAGGTTGGTTAGCGTTTGCCGATTCGCGTCGCATATGGGATTGACAAGATATTCGTCTTCTAACCAAAGGGCGTATATACTCCACAACAGTTTGCTCTTTTCTACTTGGTGTATAAAAGTAGAGCACGAGTAGACTAAAGGTTTTTGACCATATATGACCTCAAAATATTACTCGCATATGGGCGGACAACCGAGTAAACATTTTTAAAGTAAAGGAAAGGTCAGTTGGCAAATCGATTATGTGATGGTAAATCTTTATCGACTGAGGTAGTTGGAACATGCGTTACATATGCCTAATCGCCCACCTTCCTCTACGGGTTACGCTTGATTAGTATAAAAGTAGTTGGAAGAAACAATGAGCGGCCAATCCAAAACGTCACATAAGTCCACACAGTCGTTGACTGTTGGTCTTAAGCCATGCTGGTAAATGCAGACTACCTGATTAGGGTCCGCGTGATAACCGCTAACATTGAGTGGAGACTTTGGGTGGCATTACTTAGACTCGTTCATGTTGGCACATATGCATTCACACTTCACACTTCCGAAATACTTTTCTATTATGTGGTTTTGAACGTTATTACCAATATTTAGTCCGTCTTACTATCACTGCTATTAAATGGCTTCTATTTATTTACTATTCAATTTGTTATTTTTATTTCCTCGTGCTAATCGGGTGTAGCAACTTTGGTCAACTTACATTTGTGCAAGGCTTTATGTGAATGATATCTGTCTAACTTTTTTTGTTATAATTTAATACCATCTGAACACACATCACTTGTAATGTCACAACTGATTATACAGTAAAGTATTTAAGTAATCTTAAGGTATTCATGCATCAATATTAGGGATTCTGTTCTGTATTATCTTAGACAGACGTCAGATATGTAAGTGTGTTAGTTATCACACTTCATATTAGCTCATTTCCAAGCCGGAGTAGAAGTCCATAAATTTGTGAATTGACATTTTTCTCTTTGGTTTGTCCATCCTTTAAATTTTGACTCACTCCTATCTTGGTCAGCGTGGCACTTTAGAGTTGGTGGTAATTGATTTTGTATGATGCATTTTAACCATTTCAATCGATGAGAATTTACAGCTTCATTGTTATTCACTCAGTCGTTATACTATGCCTCGATGTTAATCTACGTATATCTCCTCAATGACTATTTATTTTATATCTGTAAATCGATGCAAAACGTAGTTCTGTATTTTATATTCTTTCCTTAATATAAGAATGAGTTGAATCATCCTGTTAAATTGTTGTTCTACTAAAATACATTTCATAGGCTGGTTTTGAGAGATGTTTAAACTAAGTAGTAGTTTACGTCTAAATCTCAATTATCCGTTTCTTTCAGAGTTGTCAGTAGTTAGATAATTTTATTAATTTTATATGAACATATAAAACGCGCTACTTTTATGTAATTGTTTCTCAGTTTTTCTGTTTTTGAACAAATGATACAGCTATAAAGGATAAATCTTTTACGGTTGAGATTTTTGATCACTTCATATTTGTGAAAAATAAGCACCGTTACTAGTCATCTTTTTAGAAAATCTTCCCCCTCTCAAACTCTCACACCCATTCAAATTAAAAATTCTCTCGTTATTCAACTATTTTTTTTTACGAAATAAGTCTCGCTGTCATTTAGCCCTCTTATATCTTGAGAACTGATCATGGATAATATATTATTACAGAAACCTGACTGTTATTACCAGACCAAGATTTTTCAACAAATAATTCATATTTTCAAAAAGAAGTCTACCATGTGTCCAAATCCATATCTGGTACTTCCTGGTTATATAGGATTAAAACAATGTATTATATCAATAACTGTTCGTTTTAATTAATCATCAATGGTTCCTTTCGATACTCATTATATTGATTTAGAAAAATTGTATATTTTACTTAACATAAGCTAACACACATTAGTGTTGCCTTCTCTCATTCATTTATGATTTAACTCACATGATATTTTTATGGATATTTTATAATAAATGATTTTTTCTGCATGTAGAAGTTTTAAGTTCTGTCTGTTGTGGACAGTTTACAAATAATATATGATAAGCTTAAAACTGTAAAGAAGTAACTGTCTGCTGCTCTACAATTTGCATCGGTTTTTTATCTTCCTTAAGAATTATCAGTAGACGTGTCGTCGCATAGGCGTTTTTCTTCTATAATTCTTTGTATCCCTATAAGTATTTGATTTATTTCGAAAAAGATTGAAGTTCGCTTGATCAATTTTTACAAAAAGTACGTTTGCTTAGTGTCTTCAGTTTTACGACTGTGTAGCAGTATCCATGGGAAGTTTGATTTCCTTCAATTGAACTGTACCAGTCATTTTTGCTAATATTCATTGTTATTTGTTTTATTTTTGATGTATTATCATATATTGTTGCATTTGATTAAATCGTTTTCATAAAACTCAGATTTTCTTTGTTTACTCATCAGTTTGATACCTTTATCCCAACTTTGGAGAGTCACTTGCTGTCTCATATAAGTTGTAACGTGTCTGACTACAGGGCTGAACAATGTCTGTCGTCCAAATTTCAAAGGATGCATAATTTTTATTATCTAAAAACCACTTTTATATGCTTTTCTGGTTAAGTACCAACTGGAGTTTATCAGTAATTACAACGGATTTCGTTGGTATGTTGTTAATTTTAGTAGCTATTTTTGTCTTTCTTGATTGATGACAGAGTCCAGTCATAACCATCATCATTATTGCCGCTGCTTCTTGGTAATCAGAGTACTCAGTACTTATTGATTGAGATCATGAACCGATTGATGTTAGACCACCAATTTTGGAAGCCTGGACGGCCGTTACGTCCTATTGTGGGGCTCCTCAGCAGTGCGCATCCACGATCTCGCTCGCGGGATTCGAACCCAGGGCCTTCGGTCTCGCGCGAGAACGCTTAACCAACTGGACCACTGAGCCGGTATCCAATGGTGATAGTGTCTAACATCAACCAATCCACGAAATTGCGCGACCAACTTCCACTGTACTGAGGTAGATACCTGTCTCTACCGACATGGATTAGCTCCACTGATCACGGCTTCTCACTAGAACTCCGAGAATTCCCTCACGAAGCTAGTCACTAGTGAGCGCATGTTTCCAAAATTGGTGGTCTAACATCAATCGGTTCATAATCTCAATCAAAAACGTAATAATCTCCACAACCCCCATACTGATGATTGAAGTTTGTTTCACCTACGAATAAATGATAAACGCTTTAGTTGTGTAGTAGTTGTTGTTGTCGTTGCAAACAACAACAAGTTTCAGAACTTTTCTATGAAACCATTTTTTCGTTCACAACGATTTGTTCCTTATTCTGTTAATAATAATAATAATAATTCATGATGTCAGCATATTCAACTACTTCATTAATCTTTAGGGTGTGAATTTAAAATAAATAATGGGTGAACATGACGCTGACCTGACATACTTATTTTTATGCTATTAGGTCACAAGGTCTGTTAGCTTATAAGCATAGCACATGTTTTCCTAAAGCTTGGCACATTTAACTGTATAGACGAATATTGACTTATACTGTTCGTTTTCGTTTGTTTTCTGGGTATTGTACTGTGCGGTTGTGTAACCACTAGTGTCCGTTAATCTTGAATTCAAAATCTGTTTTGCTTTTTAACTTTATGAATACACAAGTTTTTCTCTATGTCTGTCTTCATAATACTCCACTGAAAAAAACACTGATTACATGTTAGAACATGTCTGTTTATCAGAGAATAATTTAACCAACATAAAATACTAACATTAGTGGACATTCGTAACGGGTTATTACATTGTTAAAATTAGTTATGTTGTTCTGTTTGACTAGTAAATGTATTTGATAGTTGTAGATATATTGGTTGAAAATCCAATTATTCAAAATAATAAATATATTTTTGTTACATCCCAACGATATTTCATGACTTAATGAAAGCCACTTCTTAAGAGCACATAAATAACCGACATTAAATCAACGCAAGTTTAAATAGTACAAAAGAAACAGTGTAATATATTCTTAGTACAATCAAAATCATAATAGGTTTGAATATCATTGTCAAGTAATTTTTGGTCAAGGTGAATTTGTATGGCCTGTCAATGTTTTTATGTGTGTCAGAATGTGGGTACGAAAAATGTATGCATTTGCGATCTGGCGTAGTGGGTTCATATCGTGTGTCGGTGTGCGTTCAATTTATTTGAAATTCTCAAGTCCAACCTTGATATTGATACCTATCAACTATTTAAAATTGATCTGATTGTAATTGTAATGATTTTCTGTACTTTCATTGAAAAATATCATGAATTACTTATTTACTAAATTTTACGCTGAACTTTACATAACCTACTTGCACCGTGTACAATCCTTGTTGCATTTCAAATTATGCTCATGGATACATAAATGTATATCTTAAAGAAAGTACAAAAATTTTTCATTAATATATCTAGTATTCATCTTATCGACTCTCACATGTAAACATAATCAGTAGTATTTTTAAATAAAAACACCTTATTCACTATGAGGATAGAAGAACAGTATGCAATACAACAAAATTTTCACATTATGTTTTTCCTGTATACATCATTTTCTCAGTTTAATCAAGGACTATGAGGATAGTTTATTAGAATGTTATAACTGTAATTCGACTAATAAGGGTCTAATTGGTCCATCCTAAGTCAAAAGTCAAATAAATTAAGCTTTGTTTAAACACTAACTGATTGGTGTCGCACCTTGTGTGAAGAGTTGAGGAATATTCTCATAGTCATTCCCTTGGAGCAAATCAGTTTACTGCGAGTTATAATTACTTTTATTTTTTTATATTGTGAATTCAAGCGGTAGTTCGATGGAGATTTTAAAACTCTTTTGGCTCTCATAGTAAATGTTTGTTCTAATTCATATCTTTTTGATTTATTCAGTCTTCTTTTTTATGATATTTCTATTTATTATACGAAATTGTATTGAGTGTGTTTATATTTCTTAAACTTGGTCAACAGTTTTGTTTGATTTACCGGACTTTTAAGTTTAACATATTCGATCTCATTTTATTTGAATTATATTTAGGTATCGGCCATGATGTGATAAAAAGATAGGAAAGCTAAAACGAACAGTAGACATAAGTTGTCCCTTAATAGGGCGCAATCTTACTATGGATTCCACTGCATAGTATTCTTAGACCACTCAGACGATCTCAAAAATCAAGACACAGCATAAAGAGAAACGTCAATTTATTCGAAAGCTAATAAGCAAAGCTAATCAATTGCATATCAATTAAATGACTATAATTTATAAACGAAGTAATTGTCACTTAGATACAAATCACAGTACAGTTGTTAATACACTAAAGAAAGATTTTTAAAATAACAGACTTCATACTGAATGAATGATAGTGATTGAAGTCCACTTTAAATCAAAATTGGTTTCTTCATAAGTGTAGTACTTGGGAGTTCCATATCTCAAACGTTTGTGTACCCAGAAATAATCAAATTTTTGGCCTAATAGTGTAAAGAAAATCGTGATTAACTATGTTCTCATACACAATAATTAACATTGACTCCTATAACACAGATTTTATTTATTTGGTGAATATACAAATATGATGCATTGCCGTTTTGCATACTGGTCAAATTGAGCGTTAGGTTTTGTAAATCATTTGCTAAAAGCACACCAAATGGAGATCAGTGATTAAAATAAGATTAGGGATTATCGTGAATTTAGTTTACTTGTTAAACATGATACTTATATAAATCAAGGCCTTTGTTAAGGAATTAAAGCACTGAAAATGAAATGAATTGAATTCATAACACAATGCTTGTTGTTCTTGTTATATTTCCACATACACGAAAACAGGCAAGAATAATGGATCAAGAAAATTCCTTTTTTCTTTTGTAAATGGGTTTTCGTACTTAAACTGTAATCATTTGGAATTATTTTTAAGTATCTTACCCATTACCCCTACAGTTTTTATGATCTAATCTCTCCGTCTTCCTGGGGGTAAAAACTTAATATACTTTACATATGCACGGGCAGCTTACACAAAATGATATTCATAGTTTCAGGAATTTATTGATCACGTATATCATTGGAGTAGTTTTAGTCGAATAACAATTTTGGATATTATGAATATCTAAGTAAACGATCAACAGCTTTTAGTATAAAGACCATCATATTTACCGTAAACACTAATTCAGTGATATTTGTATCAGAAAATTTCAGGAAAAACTGTTCACATTTGAAGAGAGTATATGGGAGCCATAATAGTACGCTTTGTTTTTCTGCCGATATATTTTTCTCGTTCCGATGTATATTTCAACAAATGTAACCGTTTTTACTGTCGTGCTTTTTTCTCTAAATTAGCGGCAGTTATCGTACGGATCGACCACACGATACTTGGATGTCACCGAATATGTCTCGCTTACCTTTAGGATCATCAAGTTAGTTAAAAAACGTTTGTTTGTCTTCCTCTCTCTTTTGTTAGCTATTGTCATGAATCAGTTGATCTTATCTACTGATAGTAGATTACATTATAAGATCAAGACGTCATAAGATTGATAGTATCTTCCTTAATTTTGGAAATTCGGAAGCTTAATTTCACTAAATAGACTTGGATTGAGATTTGTCAGTAAGTTCGGACTACTTGGTTGATGTCCGCTCTACTACCGCATTTAGTAGTCGGTGGAATTGAATAACAGCCTAGAACCGGTCACAGAGTCGCGATTAGGTACTTTCTTTTTACCTTTTAATCCAAAATTTTTAATTTATTCCTGTTATTCCTCGGAATGTTATCTCTTGTTCTTAGTCTTTTCTTACCTCCACTATTTTGCTAGTCATCTTTTGTGTTAGTATGACGTGGCAACTTGGACTGATAAGCACTTATGTCACGTTTCTACATAGAATATCTGATTGATTGACTGGTTTATTTTACTTTTCCTATAATTACAGTCTTGTGTTTGTTTTTCTGACCAGATTGTTGATTGGATACACAGAGTAGTTATGTTTAATATGTTTCAAACTACACAATTCGTTCTTTAATTCATTCATCTTCTGTTTTTATTGTGTACAAGTGTGCTTAGTCTGTCATGATGTTTATCACCTGCGTCCATATGGCATGTAGCTTTTTTAATTCACTAATATGCTTACTCAGATGTGCGCTATACTCTCTCATGACTCATTCATCCTTTGTTTACATCTGTATTTTTTTAAAATGTTTAACTTGTATTTTCGATTGAGTTATTGTGATTAAGACACATGAAAGAGAATAACAAATTCGCAAGTCATGTTTCTGTTTTGTTTTTACATGCTTATTCCTTGAAAAACACATAAATAATCAGTATTTGGCATGGCCTAGTACTCTTATGAAGAATTTCTCTGTAACTAACACACACACTCACATACAATTTACCAAGCTGAATGCATTTTCATATATCCGTTTCCTGTTACAGTGCCATAAATATATTTGCAGACTGACCTCTACAGTTATATAATTAAATTTAATCATTATTGATTTATTGATCGCTAAAGATAGGTGTATTATTATTATTGTTGAACTGTATTTATATCGTTTATTATACCGAATCGACATTGAAATTATTTATTTGGATATTTATAACGTATGGTCATAAAATTTATGAAATACATCACTTTTTCTAGAATTTAATTCATCCTCGGGATCGTCAAATCGTTTAACGGCACCAAAAACTCGCAATATGCATCCTATGTTAAATCGTCGTATATCGTCAAAAACTGAAAGTTCAACCATAATACGAACAAGTAGTTCAGAAAATATTGAAGAGGGTATCAATAGCAGGTAATTGGATATTATGATATATTTATTTTACTTTTTAACGATTCATGTGTTCAATTACTTATTTACATTGGTGACTATCCTTTTTTACAACTGAATGGCTGACAAACGTATTAAGTACACCTTTGTAAGGGTTATTAATCATGAATGAATGAGTTAGCTTTAAAGCACTTTCAGGTTGAACTTTAAACAACATAGAATTCTATTCATCAACGAAATTCATTGTCATTGAGATGAGAAAATACCTTTATAGTTTCGACAACCTTTGGATTTCAACTAATACAGTTTGGTTCTCCATTAGTTAAAAAAGACAAGAATTTCAAAAATCGATCTGAAACAAAGTCGAATTGTGAAATAGATGTTTCTAGAAAGATTTCTTCATCAAAATTTCACTCATCAGAACTTTTATTGTATACATTTCCTAATTTTTGCGATGAAACAGTACTACTGTTCTAACTTAATATATTCACTTGACTCTAATCTGTTATATCTAGAGCTTAGATTCTTAATATACTGTATATAACTTGAGCGCTGGAACGCTTGAACCCTCCAAGTCGCAAATAAGTAGACAGAAGACTAGAGGAAGTGATTGTTGGACAAGAATCAAAATGTATAAAAAATCATGGGTATTTATAGATATTAGCGTTTGTTTAATCAACATTAGAATTCAATCAATCCGCAGAGGCATGTTATGCTACTGGCCAAGAGTAACATGTCACGTTAATAATCTAGAAAGCTCCATTGCGTTCTGATTGGATGGAACTCTAGGGCCTCTGGAGCCTCCGTCTTAGTTCTCGTAAGCCGTCCCAACACCCCCGGAATAAGATTTCTTCCTCGGGTCCACTTGTAGCCTGACGACTAGTTTGTGACAGCGTTCCATTTTGTTCGCTGTCTTCCTGGTCCAAGTTTTCTCGGACTTCTGTGTCGTTGATGTATCTGAGATCAACTCGAGTGTGCATCATTCTTTTATCTCTAAGTATTTGGTTTGTGTGTCTGATACATGTGCCAAAAATTCCTCGAACTCTGTACAAAACTCTTCCCAATCTTTGTATGATTTTTCCCGGTTCTCATCGATTCTTTCCGAGGTAGGACTTAATTAACATTTTATCGCCAACGTTAAAACTTTGGATGTTAAGATTTGGTCTATACCCATCTACTATTTTGGATGGCAACATGGCGTTAAAAATAGTCCGGATACGTCTTCGAACATGGCTTCTGCAGGAGACTTTCCATCTGGGACAGTTGAGTTCAGAGTAGTTCTTTAGGCTGTTAAAAATTTTGTAATTACCTGTCTAGTTGTCCCCTCGCCTCCCCCTTTCAGTAATTCTCGATTAAAAGTGTCGACAAAACGTTCTGCCTGTCCATTCGATTAGGGATGATAGGGGGAACAACGTAGGTGTGCTATTCCGTTTATGCTACAAAAATGCTTGGATGATTCTGCAATAAATTGTTAGCCATTGTCAGTCACCAAAGTCTCTTGGACTCCTAAAGAGCTGAAAAAAGTTCATCGTGTATTGGATGACACAGTCGACGAACTCCCGGTTACCTTCGAAGTCATCAAAAAAACCACTGAAGCTCGCAAGACTTTGAGCAGAGTTAAGTGCTATCTTTCAACTAAATGACCAAATAATCGTCTTAAAGGAGGACGTTTGCAGTATTTTCGTCGACGTGACTCATTGACGGTGGTCGACTCCCATATTATGTTCGGTGATCGCATTGTTATTCCGAAATTATTGCGTCACAAGGTTCTCAAACAGTTTCACAGTGGTCACCCGGGATCAACAAAATGAAGACACATGCCACAATTGTCTGTCATGTCTTCAAGTTGCCAAAAACCCAGAGACTTTAGTGACTGACAATGGCTCACAATTCGTTGCAGAATCATTCAAGCATTTTTGTGGCATAAACGGAATAACACATCTACGTTCTGTATATTACTGTTATTTGGATTATTACTTAATCAACCTATATCGCTAGCCAGTATAATAGAATTCATCTTGAGATTTTTATTTTTGGTCCAAATGATTTTTGTTTTGATGGTTTTATTGTTTTCTGACTACTTTATGATATTAAAATTATCTAGCTTAAGTGTTAGACATTGAAAATCAACTAACTAAACTGAAACTCCTCTTTGTCACGCAATAAGATCAAAAATTTATTGTTAAAATTACTTAATCGAAGTATCTATTATGTAGATAGAGTGCTTAGACTAAATGGTCAATCCCATGCTAACTGTTTCTTTTCTATAACTTACTGATGTACTTAATTGTATTAACATAAGATTATTTTAATCAATTTACACAAAGCCAATCGGCCACATAACTAGTAGCACACCTGTCACAATTCTCCGATCTTCACGATCATATTTATCTTTGTAATCAACACACATATTCTCAACTACATTTTAGTGTTTATTATAAAATCGATTGTAAGTTGCTAACATGAAAAAGTTAGCTTTGTGATATGGCAGGTTTAGACGTTCCAATCAGCGTATCTTCCCTTTTATTTTGGTAATTCCGAGGTCCTCTCAATTCCGTAAGTGGAGGACTTAAGTAATACCTTTTTCAACGAGTTTTTTTCTATTAAGATATTCAAATTTCTCTTCCACCAGTTCACGTAGCTCTAAATCCCGACTGCTGAGATCTACGGCTAGAAAATTTCAAAATGAAAGGACTGGCTCTCGCAAACTAATTACAAGGGAATATCAAGTAAGTACGAGTAACCATAGTAGATATTTACCAATTTATTTTTCCATGTATCATATTAATAACAATAACAATTGCTTTATTCGGTATTACATGTCTAGTACTTCTATTTCCTTCAACGGCTGACTGATATCACATGAAAAATCACCAATGAGAATCTTGGATTTCTCTGGGCTGGCTAATTACACGTTCCACACGCACTAGTGACCTTGATTCAAGTGCCAGGTTATTATCGGTCCATGATCCTTCAGCTTCTCTCTTCACTGCCCTTCATTCCAGCCTCCACTGCATTATATTTCAAGCAGACGTAGTATGTACACAACCATACGAGACCACATCATACAATAGTGAAAAATAGCAGTTATAAGCGATCAAAGCAAAGTGACTGTAAGTAGTGGAGATTGTGAAGGGCGAACTGACAACAGATTATGAATGGTAAACCGTGTATCAGTAGTTAATGATTTAATTGAAAGCTTAAGACATATATAACAATTTAGTTAAGTAAGAGTTACTTACTTATTTACGCCTGTTACTCCTAATGGAGCATAGGCCACCGACCAGCACTCTCCAACCCACTCTGTCCTGGGCCTTCTTTTCTAATTCCATCCAATTCTTGTTCATTTTTCTCATGTTTATCTCCATTTCCCGGCGTAATGTGTTCTTTGGTCTTCCTCTTTTCCTCTGGCCTTCAGGATTCCATGTGAGGGCTTGTCTTGTGACGCAGTTGGGTGCTTTCCTCAATGTTTGTCCTATCCACTTCCAGCGCGTCTTCCTGATTTCTTCCTCCGCTGGGATCTGGTTTGTTCTCTCCCACAGTAGGTTGTTGCTAATAGTGTCCGGCCAACGGATCTGAAGTATTTTGCGTAGACAACTGTTAATAAACACCTGTATCTTCTGGATGATGGCTTTCGTAGTTCTCCAGGTTTCCGCCCCATACAGTAGAACTGTCTTGACATTTGTATTGAAAATCCTGACGTTGGTGTTGGTTGACAAACAGTTGTTTTGAGTTCCAGATGTTCCTCAGTTGTAAATATGCTGCTCATGCTTTGCCGATCCGCTCCTTCACATGTGAGTCAGATCCATTCTGTTCATCAATGATGCTGCCCAGATAAGTAAAAGTTTTTACAACTTCCAAAGCTTCTCCGTCAATTGTGATTGGGTTGGTGCATGCTGTGTTGTATCGGAGAATCTTGCTTTTCCCCTTGTGGATGTTGAGACATACTGCTGCTGAGGATGTTGCCACATTTTTCGTCTTCTCCTGTATTTGTTGTTGCGTGTGTGATAAGAGGGCCAAATCATCTGTGAAGTCTAGATCGTCCAGCTGCATCCTAGTTGTCCACTGCACCCCAAGCTCCCCCCAGATATTGACGTCTGCATGATCCAGTCGATCACCAGGAGATAGAGAAAAGGTGAGAGTAAGCAACCTTGCCTGACACCGGTCTTTACCTCGAACGACTTTGTCAACTGTCCTCCATGCACGATTTTGCAGTTTAATCCATCATAGGAATTTTGTATGATATTGACTATCTTCTGAGGCATGCCGTAATATCGAAGAAGCTTCCATAGTGTTGTCCTATCCACGCTGTCAAGTGCTTTTACGTAGTCAATGAAGTCGATGTAGAGTGATGAATTCCATTCAGTTGATTGTTCCACAATGATCTGTGGAGTTGGGAGTTGGTCTGTACACGATCCATCCTTACGGAATCCTGCCTGTTGGTCACGAAGTTTGGTGTCTACTCAGTCCTTCATCCTGTTTAACAATACTCTGTTGAAGTCTTTTCCCGGTATTGAGAGAAGAGTGATGCCCTTGTTGTTATCACAGTTGCTGAGATCGTCTTTCTTTGGTATTTTGATCAGAAGTCCTTCTTTCCAGTCTTTTGGTACTTGTTCCTCATCCTATATCTTATTGAAGAGAATGTGGAGTATCCTTGCAGTTACCGCTACGTCTGCTTTTAGTGCCTGTGCTTGAATGTTGCCTAGTCATGCTGCTTTGCGACTCTTGATTTGTCTGATGGCCATGCTGATTTCTTCAATTGTTGGTGGGCCAACATTGATTGGGAGGTCCGTGGATGCTGCTTCGATTTGGGTGGGTTCAGTGGGGCTGGTCGATTCAAGAGTTCTTTGAAGTGTTCTACCCACCTGTTTTGTTACGCTTCAATGTTGGTGATTACCTTGCCTTCCTTGCTTTTCACTGGTCGTTCTGGTTTGCGGTGATTTCCAGACAGTTTCTTTGTTGTGTCATACAGTTGTCTCATGTTTCCTTTTCCGCAGTCATTGCTAAATCTTCCACATGTTTACGTTTGTCGGTTCTGATGCTCCTTTTCACTTGTTTGTTTACTTCTGTGTATTCAGCTTGTGCCTTGGCTTTCTCTGCTTTTGTTCGTCTGGTATTGATTGCTGCCTTCTTGTTCCTCCTTTCTTGAGTCTTATCCAGTGTATCAACAGTGATCCATTCCTTGTGATGTTGCTTCTTGTGACCCAGGACCTCATGGCATGTTGAAGTGATTGCCTCCGTGATCCCTTTCCAGTTGCTCTCCATAGTAGTTCTTTCTCCATTGAGTAGATCATGAAAGTCCTGGAACTTATTGCTGAGTTCTATCTTGAATTCGTTGAGTTTGTTAGTATCCTGAAGAAAAGCCGTATTGAACTTTTGTGATATTGTCCGCTCCGTTGTCCAGTACTTCTTGAGTTTGTGGCAAGCCCATTTGGCTTCTGTATCATTTGTCTATTTATTGTAACTCAGACTCTTTATTCACTATGTTAATTTCGGTGTGTATGATCGAATGCATGTCTGTACATTAACTCTTAAGCTATCCTCCTATTGGTTGCAATGTGCACATAATCGATAACTTATCCACACCCGATTAACTCTCAAAAATATATATGGATTTTTAACACAGACACTCACTCACTCTGTTTCATCGTGTGCTTGCTCACCGTACGCTTGTGGATTTTTATTAATCATTAACAATAAACTATCTCTATAACTGGTGTTCAGGCTTCTCAATAATCTCGAGTAAATCCGCAATTCTACTAAGAGATTAAGCCTACCTTAAATACTCAGTTTACGGGATATTATTTATTGGAGTCAGATATTGAGGACATTAGCCTCAACAAGTTTCAGTTTCATCTTGGCGACCAGCAAGTGATGATCTGATGCTATATCAGCTCCACTCTTGGTTCGCACGTCCTCCATCGTCCTCCTGAACGTTTTGTTGATGCAGATATGGTCGATTTGGTTTTGTGTAGTGTGATCCGATGAAGTCCATGTGATTTTGTGGATGCGTTTATGTGGGAATATGGTGCCGCCTATGACCAGTTTATTGAAGGCACATAGGTTTGCAAATCTCTCACCATTTTCGTTTCTTTCTCCAAGTCCGTGTCGTCCCATGATGTCTTCATATCCAGTGTTGTCCGTTCCAACCTTGGCATTGAGATCTCCCATCAGAATGATCAGGTTCTTTGTTGGGCACTTCTCGATGATTGACTGCAGCCTGTCGTAGAATTGATCTTTAGCGTCTTCATTGTAGTCGTTGGTAGGCGCATAACATTGGATGATGTTCATTGAAATGCCCTCTTTCTTTGTTTTGAAGGCGGCTTTGATGATCCTTGGTCCATGAGATTCCCATCTTATAAGTTCATTTTGTGCTTGTTTGGACAGCATCAATGCAACTCCTTATGTATGTGGGGCATTTTCTTCTTCATGGCCGGAGTATAACGAGAGCTCTCCTGAAGTTAGTCGTTGTTGTCCAACTTGCGTCCAATGTGTTTCACTGATTCCGAGCACCTCCAGGTTGTATCTCCTCATTTCTGCAGCAATTTGGAAGAGTCCCCCGGTCTCCCACATTGTACGAGTATTCCATGTACCTAAATAAATGGTTGCTCTGGTTGTCAGAAGGGACATCGGCCTCGTAACTTCCGAAGGAACTCGGTTTTCATCATGAAGCGTCATAACTCTTCTAAATGAAGACCTTCTGGCTCCCAGGGCAGAGTTTGAAAGGTTTGAATGATTTTTTCTGGTTAGCGTTTTTTTAGCGAGTTAGTTTTCTACGGGATGGGGATGCTAACCCCATGCCCAACCGTCCTCCTTTATCCGGACTTGTGGCCGGCAGTAGCCTCCGGAGGGACTCCAGGCGGAGTTAGTTAAGTAAGAGTTATACAACAATATTAGTAATAAATCGATAAAACTAGTTCCAACTTTTACAATATCCGTTTTTTTCTTACAAGTGTGACTTAGAACTCTCAATATAAAGATAAAATATAAATTTCAGTTTGATTATAACTGATCTAATTTTCCGGTTTAAACCGATGCTCGCTACAACTAACTCACTGATTATTCTAGCTCTGTAATTTGCAATGGGTGATGATAATTCTCAGTTTTTTAATCAAACCAAAATCTTTGTCTCATTGTAGTTGACAGTCGAAATAGATTATTCCAATGATTATTTTCACCGACAAGTATCTTTTCAAGCACTTTCCATAGAACTATCAAATCTGAGTGTGGACATGAATCGGATTTACACAAGTAAAACTTGATTATATTATATGAACACCAGATTGAGTTTGATCTGTGGGGTTGTCGCTTTGGTGACAAACGTAACTCTCTATAATGCTTGAAATTGTGAGCAACAGCAGAGTAACTGTAAAATTTGTTCCGTCTAGTTACTGATGTGATACAGAATGTATGTAGATATTGAAGGTATGTGAGCTTAAGTATTTAAAATCTTATACCAAGGTACGTCGGTGAGAGCTAATGGAAGAGAGATACCTGTTTATCCACCTCATTAGGCTAACTGTTTGACTAAAAATTCTCATTGAAATGAGTAAAAATACGTGAAATTATGCTTTATGATAACCCAATTTTTGGATATGTTATAACTATTTTCAGTAAAACAATTTTTTTAAAATGTACTTTCTTCAATTTATTAGGTGTCGCATGAACTAGGAATTAGTAATAAACCAACTGGCTCTGAAAACTTAACTCTCCACGACGAACAAGATGAATCTTTAATTACTCCCATGGAACTAGCAAGACCACGTAAATCAGAAAGACTAGCTTTTAGAAATCAGTTAAAATCACAACAGTCATCAGCACTAGTTGACCCTGATACTATATATCGTCAAGAAACATCCCCTTATCTATCATTAACATCAACATTTGTCTATCCGAATAAACCACAACCAACGTTGGATCCAATGATTATGTCATCAAAGGCTTCACAAATGTCTAGCCAAGTATATAGTAATGTGGGTAATTCAGTAATCACAAATACTGATCCCTGGACGAAGCGTATTTCATCCATATGGGGAAGGTTGTCAAGTAATAATCTGTCTACAAATAGTTCAAATGATAATCTTAGGTTAGAAATAATTCTCTCTGTATATATAACTGTTCGGTGGTGTGAAATTGATATTTTATTATGTTTTGTTTAATCATGTCCGTTAGTTTGCATTATTTGTGCTAGTTCAGCGATCAACCACTAGTAAGTTATAGTTTTTTAAAGGCATAAAATTTATAGGCATAAAATTTCTCGTTTCTAACCTTTTATAACTGTTATAAACCAAATCAAGTTAAATAATTCGAATTTTATTCAACTATTATGAAGGTTAAGTTTTTGAGTCTTTAGTTGATAACTCTGATGTGGTTGGAACATGCTTTAGTGACTGTTATAACCTCAAAAATAACAGTTTCTTATATTGGGGCCCATGTAATTAGGCCGTTGTTATGGAAACAGTAATATTGTTTAGTTTGATTAATCATCAATTCACTCTGGCTGTAGTATAGATGACCTATCTTACCAATGGCCCCGTGACCAATGAACGACGAGTAGCGTTACAACTCACCAACATGAATAGGAAACTATAATGTGTGCATAACTGCACTATGAGTGAATTTATTTTATTTTATTTCAACACATAAATATTGGTATAAGAGGGCACCAAATATATATGCGCCACACCATATTTGTGTTTGTGCGGGCTGTGATACTGCCCGAATGCCCAGACCGAAACAGGTGGTTTTCTAAGGGAACCACACTCCGAGCCTTCGACCTATAGGTCTAACCCACAAGGCAGTGGAGTATCGTGAGGAAATGCATTCCCATGGTGGCCGGTGACCGACGATTAGTTTGCGAGCCAAACGGGAGATTACAAGTAGAAGAATATAAGCACAGAAAATTCTAAATGTTTGGCAATTATACAGCAAAAATAGAAACAGTAATTCTTGATAACCCGACCGTTGTTGCTACCTTGACGTGGTGGTCGGGCTTGCCTATCGTGATGAAGCAACCGAGCTATACTGGCTGGAACAACCGTTCCTCAAGGTCCTACCATGTCAGACAGGTCGGTTGAAGAGCGGTAAGACTAAAAGCAACAAACCCAAGGTCCGAAGGCGAAGTCGTACTGCTGACTGTACAGAGGTGTGACAGCAGTAAGGTGTTTCCTTCAGACAACCAGCATGACAGCGATGCTGCCTTCCCACAAGGAGGGGTGGGGTTAGAAAAGGTCGACCCTAAAAATGCACACCTCACCTTACCTCACGGATTTCCGTCTCCGGCGGTAAGGCCCTTTGAAGAACGGAGCTAACACGTCAAAAACCTCCACGAAAAGGCCGTGCGCGACCGGCCTCAAGCAGTTGTCCCTTGGGCACTGCGGTCACGCTCTCAGGTCACTGAGACCACCTCTAATCCAATTTCCTTTTCAGGTACCTCCAGAAGAACCCTTCCACGGTGTGGGCAACCGGGAAGTGATAACCGCCCTCATACCTCTAACAGCACTCAAGACCACTGTATTCATAATCAACCTTCCTCTTCAATTCCTATTATTCCTCCTACATCGACTTTCAACTCTAAACTTCCTTTTCGGCTTCCTCCTCAAGTGTCACCATAGCCAACGATTCTAGTGCTCAAAACTCTGTCCCAGGTCTACTGAAACCTCGCTCCAAACTACACATTGGAGCCTTCAACGTACGCACCCTATGTCAAATCGGTCAGCAGGCTTCCTTGGCTAAAACCCTAGAGTCTCTTTCCATTGATGTATGCTGTGTCTCCGAAACACGCATACAGGATTCCAGTGTGGTCATTCACTTGACCTCACCTCGGCAAAACGGAGAGCCAACGAGATACACCCTCGTGTATCTGGTGACCCGATGGCCAGTTCTCGTGGACTGGCAGGTGTAGGCATAGCACTAAGCATGAGGGCGGAACAAGCACTGCTAGAGTGGATCCCCGTCAACAGTCGTCTATGTGCTGTTCGGCTAAACGGCTCCGTAAGAACTCGGAAGGATAGGGACACACGTCGTTGCCTTTTCGTCGTTTCTGCCTACGCTCCCACTGACTGCAGCTCAGATGAAGTGAAAGATGAATTTTACAGAAAGCTTCCTGAACTTCTTCAGAAAGCTAAACGCTCAGACATAGTACTCGTAGGGGGTGACTTTAATGCTCAGATAGGTAGCTTAAACCAAACAGAAAGGCATTTAGGTGGATATTTTAGCATTCCGGCACAGCGAACAGATAATGGTGATCGTCTGCTGCAACTGTGCTCAGACAATCGTTTATTTTTAGCAAACACAAATTTTAAGCATAAGGAGAGACATCGTCTAACATGGCGACCCCCTACACCAAACCAACGATGGACTCAAATAGACCATATTGCCATCAGTCATCGTTGGAGAGGGTCGGTAGAAGATTGTCGCTCATTCTGGAGTACCTGCTTGGACTCCGACCATGCCCTAATACGGGCACGCATCTGCTTGCGCCTCACTGGACGCAAAAAAGCCACATTAAAAAGACCCATTAGAACTGAGTTGAGTAACGAGAAAACCAAAAGTAGGTTCCAGGAACAACTGAGGTCACACTTAGGTAGTTCTGAAGACGAGGCTGACCCAGATGTTGCTTGGAAAGACATACAAGCAGCTGTGGAAACAGCAGTGACATCTATTAGCGACTTAAACCACAGAGTTACAAAGAACCAGTGGATTTCTTCAAAGTCTATCACACTGATGGATTCTCGCAAACTCGTCCCATCAGGTTCCGAACATGATGAAGAGCGACAACAAATCAGATCTAGGTTAAGAAAAAGTCTAAGAAACGACCGTGAGCAGTGGTGGGCAACGAAAGCAAAAGAGATGGAAAAGGCGGCGACTATAGGGAACACAAGACAGCTTTACAGACTAATAAAAGAAACTGGAATTAATAAGTCAAGTGTAAGTGAGATTATTTCGGAAAAAGACGATACCTCATCTGCTCCCAGTCCAGACGTTTAGAACGATGGGCGGAACATTTCAGAGAACAGTTCAGCTGGCCTTCAGCTACTCTACAACTACCCTCCATTCCCAGACAGTGTGAATGGAACATTGAAGTAGGTCCCCCAACTCTTGCTGAAGTTCAAAAGGCTATAGTTAATCTGAAACGAGGAAGGGCAGCTGGTCCAGATGGACTGGCTCCAGAGGTCTTTAAGGATGGTGGTCCAATTTTAGCGATTAGGTTGACTAATATTTTAGCTAAGATCTGGGAGTTAGACGTTATCCCATCTGACTGGTCACAATCACTTATCGTCCCAATATATAAGAAAGGGTCAAAATCATCCTGTGACAACCACAGAGGGATTAGTTTAACTAATATAATATCTAAAATACTAGCCTCGATAATTATCAGACGCCTAACTAAGACTCGTGAACTGCAAACACGAGAGAACCAAGCTGGCTTTAGACCTGGTCGTGGCTGCATCGACCACATATTCACCATTCGTCAGATTCTAGAACACAGGCATACTTATCGGCGTCCGACAATGGTGGTCTTTCTTGACTTAAAAGCAGCATTTGACTCTGTAGACCGCGAGATTCTGTGGCAGTGTCTGTCATTGAAAGGCGTACCCCAGAAGTACATAAACCTTGTGAAGGCTCTTTACTCGAACACTACTAGTCGAGTCAGAGCTTATGGCGAACTGTCATCTACTTTTGCAACCTCAAGTGGTGTCCGTCAAGGCTGTCCACTTTCCCCATTTTTGTTTAACTTCATCATAGATCTACTGATGGAAATAACTTTCTCGTCGACTGAGTTCTCGGGTATTGATCTCCATCCAGGAGGTCCACTTATCGACTTAGAATACGCAGATGACATAGTCCTGTTTGGTGAAGACGCTGACAAAATGCAGAGTCTTCTGGTAGCACTAAGCAACAATGCCAGAATGTTTGGAATGCGCTTCTCTCCCTCTAAATGCAAGTTGTTGCTTCAGGACTGGTCTGCGTCAACACCTGAACTAAGGATAGGGAGTGAAGTAGTCGAACGCGTTGACAACTTCACTTATCTTGGAAGTCTGATCAGCCCTAATGGGTTGGTGTCTGACGAAATCTCAGCACGGATTCGAAAAGCTCGTTTGGCTTTTGCCAACTTACGTCACCTGTGGCGAAGGCGAGATATCCGTCTATCAATAAAAGGACGAGTATACTGCGCGGCAGTCCGTTCTGTTTTAATTTACGGCAGCGAAACATGGCCATTAAGAGTAGAAGACACTCGTAAGCTACTAGTATTTGACCACAGATGCCTTAGAAATATTGCTGGCGTCTGCTGGGATCACCGGGTAAGTAATAGTGAGGTTAGACGCAGGGTATTAGGGAATGATGGTAAATCAGTTGATGAGGTTATGAATCTTCATCGACTGAGATGGTTGGGCCACGTGTTACGTATGCCTGAACACCGATTACCACGACGTGCAATGCTATCCGGTATTGGAGATGGTTGGAAGAAAGTTAGGGGCGGCCAAACCAAAACGTGGCATCAGTGCTTGAAGTCACTAACTTCTAGTCTGAGCCATGTTGGTAGATGCAGACTACTTGGTTGGGGTCCGCGTGACTATCGTAACCAATGGTTGGAGACTCTTGGTGACATGGCTCAGAATCGATCACAATGGCGTCGGTGTATACACTCTCTGTCTTCCCTTAAACTAAGAGATTAAAATCACTTCATATCTTTCTTTCTACGAACCAATTCTTTCTTCTTGTATTATATCTCTATATGCAATCTTTCTCTTATATATTACCACCTTTGACATAACCACTGCTATGAATCCGGTGTTCATCTTGTTGTGTTAATGAGGTATGGCAACCTGGACCGATGCACATATGTGCCTGGTCCTACGTTGTAGCTGGCTGACTGAATTCTTGATAAGATAGTTCTCTATTACAATTTTCTCAATGCCTGTCATGTTATAATAGTAGTCATTTATTAAGCGGAGTTTATGGGTATTAATCCTATCTATCCTTATGCTTCAAGACCAGTCAACTGTATTTTGTTTTAGTATGTATTGTTACACAGAATTACGCCTTTACTATTGAAGTGTCTAGTTTAATCAAATCTACTTGTGTTACAAAATAGTAAATTATATTCACATTTACTCTTCCATGTTAATCTATGGACGTTTTTCTGGAAATGATGATTTTTTCCATTTACCGTAATATGTATCTTCGGTAGTTTATTGCTTATGAGTATGTATGACAGTAATGATGGTATGCATTATGTACATAGCTTTCACTAATGGTAGTTAACTTTAGCTATGAGGGCATATTTTGAAATCAATCTAATGACACTGTTGGCAAGATGAAAATTCATTGTCTTTAATGGTTTCTTTCGGTTTAAATATTTTCAATTGTGAATCGTTATTTGGTGATTCTACGTAGCCATAGTAATATCCTAGTTAACTAAGATATACTAACTCATCACAAAAGCAAATGACATACTTATCTCCCGATAGTTGCTTTTAATATGTTTACTTTCTTCGGCATATTAGTTAAGTAAAGTTTATATAAACTTAAATCGTAAAAACATTTGTGGTTCTTAGGTGCTTTTACCCCAGTAATTAACATTTATCGGATTGTAACTCCTAGAGTGTTGTGTTTAAACATCTTACCAGATTGTAGTGTTCGAATAAAATATGTTAGTCTTAAATTTTATATTGTTGTCAGTTTTCTGCTTCTATAAACAACAGTCTGAGACATGCTAGGATGATTAACTGACAAATTTGCTGTGATTTTAACACGTTTTTGCTGATATATGCAATATTTTAAGTTAGTCTAACAGATTAACGAGAACCGGAACCGTGAAATTCAGAGTGCTTTTTTTTATTCAACCGACATTACTTATGTCGATTTTTGTAGCAGTACAATCAGTAACTGCTTAAGTCACTGTACGCTGATAATGAGCTTTTTAGTGTATTGAAAATCACATTACTGTTTTCGTCTCATTTTATCAATGGGTCTTTGAAGGTCAAGTATGTGTAGAAGTTGTTAAAACCTATATGACTCACTACTGTCAAAATTCTTAATCTATATAATGTATATCTTGTTATCTGAATGTTTCATTCCTCCTTTTAGTTTTAATAGTACACAATCACATGTGGTGCAAAGGCGGCCTACAGGATGGTTGGCATGTCATATGTTTGGTGAGCCTTTTATTTATATGTACTGACTATTATATACGTTTTACAAGTACATTACTTTTTATCTCTTCCTTTTTCCTATAATTTAATTGTAACTCAAATATAGTAGATACCTGTTCGGCTCATTTTGGTTGCAAAACTTCTCTTTTCCTCCCTTTTGGTATTGTTTTTTAAGTCATCCAGTGTACAAAATATCTATTTCTAAAAGGAAATATGCTAGTCACGGTGAGAATGTACTGATGATACATGATAGTGAGTGTTTTAAAACTTTGTCTTTCAATCACTGGTCCATAGAATAAAACTTCCTTTTATCAAGTTTGATCCAATCTGAAATGAGTATGTCTTTACCTCACACAACTACTGATTCTCGGTGTTTGTTAAATTAAATATGTACTTAGTTATTTGTCTTAACTATTTGGGTCTGTATTCTCGGTGGAGATTTCTGCAAATCTAGTTATTTGATCTGTTATCAGAGAGGTACATCGACTCAAGTTGCCAAACCCCCCAATAGCATAGAGAAATGAATTTTTCGGGCGAAATCCTAGAGTGGTAGAGGTAGAGTAACAGTATCAGTGGTAATAGAAAATATTAGGCATCGAAGATACGGTTTAAGCTCAGGATTACTTTTTCTATCTTGTTTTGATCTTGTATTCTATAAGGTATTTTCCATACTTTGATAATCTGAGCTATGTTGGAACTTCAACATGAAACGCAATTGAACTATCTTTAGTCTCACCAACCATCTCTCACTTGAAACGTTGTTCATCAATACATAATACAAATTCCTGTTTTGATAAAACATCTTAGTTAAACTTTCTATCCTGCCATAGTTCGTATCTGCCCCTCACCGAAAAAATCGAAAGCCTGCGAGTTTTTGGTGAATTAAATTTCTTTCGTTCTGTTGCAACTACTTAATGAGTCGTACTGCCAGTTAGATGCGGTAGAAATCTGAGTGAAATTTTAAATAGGTTGTCATAGTCCTATGTACCTAGCATCTACTTCTCGTAGTCTTGGATAAAAAATAAGCTAAAACAAAAATCATCCATTGACGGATTCTAAATGTAAAGCAGCACATAATAAATAATCAGACGAAAGGTTGTAAAGTATGATCCAGTTTCGTAAAATTTTATTATTATAATAAGGTACTCCGTTGATTATATACATGTTAATCGACTTAAGTGAGATATACTATCATTCTTTTCTAGTTGTTCATGAAATCGTGTGTACATTAACTATTCATGTGTTTGTAAACTTATATTTAATCCTCAATTTAAATTATTGTTCGTATACAACTTTTGCAATTAAAATCAAATTTCTAGCTTTTGAGCACATGTAATATTTATTTTCTTTTGAAGAAAAGATAATTTTTACACTTTAGGTTTGGAGAGAGATACTACTGAAGATCTAAATTTTGAATCAAAGAATACAGACGATCAATTTCTGTCTAGCGATATAGAGGATAACTATGATGCTAATATTTCGTATCATAAAACTAAAAATGTTACCAATCGAAACAAAGCATACGTTCAGTTTAATCTGCCTCATTCGAACTCATTTCAGTCTGATTTTCTTTCACGCCGATCAAGATTATGTTTTTACACACAATGTGTTTTAAACAGGCTACGGAATATGTCTATTCACCTTTTAGCGTTTTTAATGGCTTTCATTTATGCTGTTGGAAATATTTTTCTGTATATCCTCAGTTGTTTACCACGATTATTCTGTTGGCTGTTTGCAAAATTATTTAGTGGAAATGATAATTCTTCAACTTTATCTCTGAAATATCACTCAACAATACGTACTGATCTATCGAGATTTCAAAATTCCACAGGTTCATCAAGGTAAACTTGTCTAATTATATTCGTTTTATCATAATCTTACTATTAATAATTCTTGTACTTTGTTCATTATAACATCTATACTTTGTTTGATTTGAGAAAATGTAGTATTGCCATTTATTCGAGTTCAAGTATCAGTTTATGACACCGATCAACGGCATATGTTGTAGAAATATTATTGAAATAATCACCTTATATTCATAAAACGAAATCAAACATTATTTCATCTTTCTCTGCATGATCTTCGACTTCATACATCCTTAAAATGTCAGATTATCAATAGCAAATACTTGTCAGTATATTTCAAAATTGGGAATTTACTAATGTTAGCGGAATATAGATTAGATTAAAGCACGTTCCATGCACGAATAAGCCGGAACTCGCTAATTCGCTATTTCTTAACTAATCAGCGTTCGTGGATACTTGGAGATGAATCTAAAATCTCGTGTGAAAACTATAAATATACTAACGTTTTTTCTTATTGTAATTCCTACTTCCATCTACTTTTGTCATTTGGAATATAATTTCGTTCCTGTTTAACCGTGTTCTGATTTGAAGACTTGTCGAGTCAATTGGTGTCTAAGAATGCCAAGCAATAGGAATAGCTGGGTCGTAATAAAAGAAATTATAACATCTAATCGGTTCAAAAATTACGAAGTGAATTACGGTATAACATCGTGATACAGTGTAATCACTAAGCTTATAAGTTTTGTGGCAAGTTGATTTGTTGGTTAAAAACTTTCGAGAAGTAACTCACCATATTTAATGATAAAAGATAACGCTAATTAGAATGTACGGGAAACAAAATCAAATAAGGTTTAACCTTTGCTTTTGATAAAATCTTCAATTCGATGTAATAAGCAGTTTTTAGATAAACGTCATTGCCACATGTCTATGCACTTAGAGCCAATTCGCCATCATAACTAAACTTTTAAAGTATGTGATAATTAATACTTAGTTCGGTGGTTAGTGTTATGTCTTTACGTCCGACTTTTTATCACGTGATTTATCCACCAATCAAAATACGACTCATACAATCTTAGCAGTGCACCAAAACCAATGACGTTCGACCGGTGTGAGCAGCCTAGCGTCCTTATCGGTCCTATTTATGCCTAGCCCGTCCACTTGACTCTAGAACACCAATACCAGCTCCCACTATGTAAATCGAATGGAATTATTTATTTCAGACATACTGGGTTTATATATTAACCAAACAGACCTCAACGCACCATAAAATAGGAAATAACATACACAATAAAGCCAAAAACTGGCTGTGAACGTGGGAGGCAGTAGCCAATAAACTGGACATAGCTTAAGAACCGTAAACCGTACAATAATAAATTATAGGTCAAAAAAAGCTTATAATAAGGGGAATATAAATATACATAATCTAATTACTGAATAGTTATGCCATAAAAATATATAGATAATATTAGTAAATTAATGTCTCAGAAGTTATTCATGGTTTAATCTTCGCTCGCGTACGACAGTTAGTACTTTCAAATTGTAACTGATGAGAAAAATATTCACGCTATGTCTCAACTAAACATCTTTTCGGTGGGCTGATAAGTTTTTACATATAGTATTCTGTTTATGATCGGCTACACTGACCTCTACTTGATTTGCATATCTGTAGGTATTGACTAATGACCATTTAACTATGAGCGTATAATAATGGCGTTGATACGTCTGTTGTAATAAAAAAATTGAATTGATGAACAAATAAAATGACTGGTGACCAAGTATATGGTATACTCAATGGACAGATCTCAATGTAATTTTTTCTATTAATAAACATACACTACTGTAGAAGACGTTTTGTATGTGCACATATTTTCGGAAAACTTGCATCCCAAACATTAATGTCCTTGCAGTTCCCTTTCAATATTTTTTCGTCGTTTTAAATATCAGAACGGGTTTCTTCTCTGCATTTCTTTTTTATGTGGTACTAATACTTGGAATTGTTTTTCTTCATAAAACAAGTGTTATTCGATACAACTGAACTAAAAAGTAGTGTTGTTACCATTCTGCTTTATTCGAAATCAAAATTTTCAATCATGTTTACATTAGCTTACATCGTCTAATGTTCATTTTTGTGCCTAGCAGATGAATATTTACACCTGATATTCTTCATTAATGAATTTAATCTTTTTTCCCTAGTTCCTATGTACAGAGAAATAATATCTTGAATTGGTGCTTGCGTTTAGTACTGCTGTTACTTATCTTATCGCCGTTATTACTAATTTTAAGCCTTTTGTTTGCACCAACTGGTAAGTATGGTATACATGTACAATGAGTTAATTTGTTTTGATATCTTTTAATTTTTACTTCATGTATGTGGCAAGTTAAAGAAAGATGAGTATGACTGAAAGAAACTGGTAGGAAATAGTTCAAATTTAAATCACAAGACCTCTATGTCTTTGATATGCTTGGATGCTATTACGAGTTCACCTTACTCGGTAAACGGAACGAAGGTCAAAGATACAGTGACATGATAGGCTATTCTAATCCGTTGTCCCCGGCCCTGCTAACTAGATCAACAAGTCTTGATGAGGCGTATAGAGTGTATTCTACAATCACCCAGAAAATAAGAGGTCACTAAGCACACAAATCAAGTTTATTTATACAATGATAGGAACGCCCATGCGAGAGCCACAAAATAGCGTACTTAAAAAATCCGTCAACCAATGACAATCAAGGATTTTTGAGTGGGAAATTTAGGCTGTAGGTTAACTAAGCGTCTCTTGGCGCGAAAACATAAAATTCAAAATTTCAGAATAAAATTACAAAATTAGGACCTTTTCCAAGTGAGTTCTGGGGATCTAACGTCCTCAACAGTCTTTTTGTCAAATAAATAATCTCACGATAAGAGTCGCCCATTTTCGTCCTAAAACTGAAGTTCTGGCTTTTCACAGTATATGGAATTAAGGTTTCTCATCTAAAGGTTACTAATTTAAAGTAGAATTATCAACTTCATTCCTCCATATGTTTTATCATTTTGTTTATTGAAATCGTTCTGTAGTTGAACTTTAATAGTTATTATCCTAAGATTTCATTAAAACCTTTAGTTATAATTCATTATTAGTTGCGTTTTTTTATTTGTTTCTTCACAGATAACTTTTCAAATAATTCATCTTTAAAATTGTTTCCATTTTCCTCTGATTCTAATTGTACGTATGAACTTTCTGAGACACGGCCTGATAGTACTCATCTTTGGAATTTATTTATATGGAAAGCACGTTGTCTTTACATTCGTTATTTTTTTTCATCTGAGTTAAATGAGGATAACAGTAGATCTGACAAAGAAAATGATCGGTGGCAATGGATTCCGTTCTACAGTTCAAGTAAATCTAATGATCGAATAGTTTTTGATGCAGTTAACTCCACATAGTTACTTTCTCAGTTGTTGTACTTATTATTACACTTATTATTGTGGAGGATTTAATGTTTCATTGTAGTACCATATATGGTCGTTTTCCTTTCATTTTCTTGAGAAAACAACCTTCACGAAAACGAGTTAGTGATAACAGAATGTGCAACTTGCTAATCTCTTTTACTGTTATTTGGATGTTAGATCCGCGTCGCTTAGCACTTATACTTGAAAAACGAGAAACCAGGGCAATTCCTACGACGCAAAGTATGAACACGGAAAACTGGTAAAAATGAAGATTTATCAATCTCAAAACATGACAACCACTCTATTCAAAAATACGATTATTTATATATTGAGATCATGAACCAATTGATGTTAGATCACCATTGAAAACCTGGAAGCACTGGACGGCTGTTTCATCCTACTGTGGAGCTCCTCAGCAGTGCGCATCCACTATCCCGTTCGCTGGAGCTAATCCGTGTCGGATAGTAACAGGTGTCTACCTCAGTACAATGGAAGATGGTCGTGCAACTTCGTGGATTGGTTGAGGTTAGACATTAACACCATTGGATGCCAGCTCAGTGGTCCAGTAGGTTAAGCGTTCGCACGCGATCGCGCTCGCGGGATTGTGGATGCGCACTGCTGAGGAGTCCCAGTGCTTCCAGGTTTTCAGTGGTGGTCTAACGTCAATCGGTTCATGATCTCAATCAAAAACTTAACAATCTTCACAACCCCTAAACTGATATTTATGTATTGATTTGTATACCCGTTTGTTCATTAATATGTAGTCATATGTATGAAATTATAGCGAAATCTCACGTAGTTCACGTTAATTTGATACAAGAATATAATATCTTAAATAAGGATCACACTGAAGTAAATCAATGTTATGCTGAATAAACTAAGATGCTGAAAATAAAACCAATGTTACACTGAATAATCATCATATTACATTAAAAACGGATTTAATATTGACCAAAAATCACAATGAATTAAGGATATAGTTTTGCCGTTATACCGCGTCATATCACTGGAATAAATTAGATTAGCGTAGCTTCCTTATAAATGGTAATCGACGGAACGCGTATTCGCTAATGTATTTGTGACACGAAAGGTTTTTCAACGAACACGCCTCATTAGCGAAATGTTGAACTGCTTAAGATGTGTTTATATTTGGTGACATGGGATATTGAACGTGTTTTTGACCTTGCCCTTGGCTTCTTTTGATATTTAACATGATTTTATTAAAGATGATCTCTTGATATTTGATACCTTAGTGTAATGTCGATAACCCCAATCATATCAACTATAATAAATATTTTATTTAGATGAATAAATTATAAGAAAACTGGTTGTCATTTGTTATCTTAGTATTATAAAGCATAATTAAGCCTTTTTCCAAGTCGTTTGGTGAGAACTATGTGGAGAAACGTTTGATATAAAGGATTATGAATTGGATTCTTAGTGATTTCTGTGAAGTTTTGTCAGGAACTTATCAAGATGATGTACAGTATTACATTCGCTTGAAATGTGACATTGACTTCCTTATCTAATATGAAGTCAGCTTAAGGAAAGGGGCTGTGGATTGTTTTGCAACTTTTCAAAAACATGACTGTTCGTTTAACATATATGGCTACAAGTACCAACTAAAGCTAAGTGATAAATTAAGGAACAACTACTCATTTATATCCAGGTACTTAACTCCAGGATAACACACCTAAAATATTTAATAAGATATAATTTATTCATATGTCACTTGTTTTAAGTTTGTCTTCTGTATCGAATACATCTAAAAGTTATGAAAACAAATAGTACTTCTAACTCTTAGGTTTAATCGAACTTGACTAATCCATTGTCGTTTACTGGATAAACCGACGAAATATAGTTTGCTTGTTAACAACTTGCTTTCGTGTAAAAGTTTACGCTTAAGTGCCATTTGAATCCAGATATTAGAGTATACATATTTATAAAAGCAAAAGGTTTACAGGTATACTATATTATAGATTTCATTTTTGAACTTATTTTATCCAAATGTTCACTTGTACTCCTTAAAAATTTATTTCTCCCATTTATAGTTCAGAGATTCAATAAAATGATCTGCACAAAAAATATGTACATTCTACCTTTAACAGTTTGTACATTCCTATAGGAGAAAAAGGTGCATTGCTGTTGCTTAAAACGCAACTTTTACAAGTAATTGAACCTATTGATATAATAAATGAAGTAAATGGGCACACACTTATCGAAGTTTGTGACACATTCAAATTTCGATTCATCACTTCATTTGTTCATTTTAATACAGCTATACTTTGAGTGTTGTTCTAAATGCACTCGATATTTTTGATTTTTCAAAATGACATCCTATTCACCTACTTTTGCAATGAAATATATTTCATCATCCAATCGATTGTTCTGTTTTTTTTTAAGAATATGGTTTAAAAGTTTATTTTTCTTATGTTCGCCATATATATCTGTATCTACCACATTTTATTTTACCAAAGGGAATCTGAATGATGTAACAGCAAATAAACTTTTTGAGCAGTTGACATCACTTTCTCAATCGGTCAATAAGCGTTTGGACTTACTATCACAGTGAGTTGTTTAATATTTATTTGTTTCCATGTTTAATAATTTAGTCTACATAGTTTTTCGTATAAATTATAACTATTGAAGTTCACTCTGTTATACGTAAGCGAATCAAGTTCCGAACATATATAAATTTAGGGAAACAAATATTTCCCGATGAATAATTCTAGGTGATTTCTGCAAAACTTTTACCCGGCTGCTGACCCTTTAATTTGTTTATGATCATATCCAAAGTAAATATGCTGATCATTAACCAAAATAAATCTAAAATTAATTAATCCGTTATCACCATGACAACTGAGATAATTACAAGTCAACTGAAGATTCCTTATGTGTTTATTATAGGTCATATACTATATCTTCTTCAACATATAATTTTTTCATCCCCCTGCTTAAATTTATATGAATCTTTTGGCAGAAAATATTGTTCATTTGATTTGTCATATTACAGAACAGTAGATTTATCTTAAGTTCAGCACCAAACGTGTTTACCATACCTTTCTGTGGTCTCCACCGCACTTATTATCACTATCTAAACGTTAACATTTTTGAAGTAATAAAAGAGTAAGCTTTTATGAAGGACCTCATTGCACCAAACTTCTCTGCGTAATTGCAATACTCTAAACTGTAGATTTTCGCTACTGACATTGACAACTAGAATATCGGTTGCTATTGTTTTTTTCTTCAGATATTTTAGTAGTGTACACTTTTGTCTGTAACAGACAATATGATTTCAAATATAAAAACCTATGCGGTTTGTGTTAACAAGAACGGGAAATTCACAACCTCAAAGTCATTCTCTGATTTCCCAGTGGTTCTATAGCTTATTTTTGATCGATGAAAATCATCCTTTCTAATACCATATATTCCAAAAGTTATAAGTAAAGTAGACTAAATTTTTTGATGAATTTCTTATTAATGAAATGTTTTTCTTCGTTTTTTTTCTGTTTTTTATAGGACAATTAAGGTTACCGATAATAGTTTAATCAACTTAAAACAAGACTCTATCAGAAAATCGAATATACTCAATTTACAACTTATTGAAATGAGAAATATATTTGATCATCATATCAATGAATGGAATCACTTTTACCTGAAATATAACCAATCTGAGCGTCTGTCTGATAATAAAGATTTTAACTCTGCTGATCATAATGCAGCATTTCGTATAGAAAGCGATCGTTTACTAAGGTTAGCCATTGAAGCAGCTAATCATAATATCGCAACTCAGTTGGATGACCTACGTAGTAAAATCCTACAAGACCTTATAAAGTCCGATCTGCAAAGAAATATGAGTATTCAAAATATGTCAATACTGTTGAATAGTTTACATAGTCAGTTAAGTTTACGTACTAAAGAAACACGAAATGAAGTTAGTTTTTTGTCATTTCTGTACATTATAGATTGATTTATTGATCCTCTATAACTGTGATATATGTTCATTAGATTTGGAAATATATATGTGCTAGTCTTTATGAGAGCCCAATAAATACTGAAAAAACAACCAAGTCTGATAATAGGATCACAAGACTAACCTCAAAATTTCAAACACGGGTTTCAAAAGATATAAATACTGAACTATTCATTGAAGATATGACTATTTTAGTGGCATAATGTTGTTACTGATGTGCATAATATCTAAACAAAATAGTTTAACTGATTTACTTATCAAACAATAATTGAAGGTGAGATTGAAGATCGCAAAACAATCAGTGATTCTTAATTTCCTATGTAGTAGCACCAGGATTCGATTAATTGCATGCTATTAGTTTAAGCCTGATTGTAGACTAAAAGGGCATGCTGTTCAATAAATTTGTAATCTGACTAAGATGGTATGTTAATTGTTTTTACGTTACTGTATGTATTAAGAATTCCATTTTGTCAGTAGTTTAATATCAATATACATAAAAATACTTCACATTACTCCTCTAAAACTTATTACATTGAAAAAGGACCTAACTTTATTTGAGGGTTTAAAAATGAACAAGCATTTGGATAAAATGAAGATGCTCCATAAGCTATGAACTTAAAGGAACCCCCAATACAAATATTATTACACTGCAAATAGCCACTTAGTGTTAAAGATATACTAACGTTAATTATTCGTACTAAGTTTGTCAACTGTTACATGTTTATGGGATCATGATTTTGCTTCACTAAGTTGAAAATATAGTAGCATAGAACCTAAACTTCAGTAAAATTATGATTGGTAGACCTTGGGTTTTTATTTTCTGTTTCTGGACAAAAGTAATAAGTTCTGCTAATTGAACGCTGGATTTGGTTCCTAAGCTCTTCTAGTAACCCCCAGGTTAGATCTATACAGTGACTTGAACACGAAAGAAAAGGCCCGAAATATATGAGGAACACTTTACTCCAAAGGTTCATTTTTGTGCGGAAAATATAGGGTTTTTATAGTATTTTAGATGTCCTTAGGTTTCCCGAAAATTCTGGAATGCTACTAGATATAGTAGCAGTATAAGTAATCATGCAATCAGAAACTCCACATGTGACTTTTCACTTTCTTGATGTTTCTGGTAAAACTTCTAGTAACGCCGATTGGATAAGATGCTTCTGTTTTCAGAACCTTTCTTGGCTTTTTTTCGAGGAGTTTTCTGGATCTCCCCGACATAACGGTTTCACGCGTTCCCATACGGCGATTAACACTTAAATCGTGTTCAAACTCAATGTTTCGTGGTTGTATATACATCCAAACAATTATAAAAATTCATGTATGCTTTTATGTAAAATATATAAAGGAAGAATCTTTGATTGATTTTCAGCCATCTGTTTTTTTATATTGTCTCTTGAAGTGTTTCACCTCACTGAAATATTAAAAGTACTTGCCGAGATTTTTTCCTTTTTATGTTCCAATTCAACAATTTATCTGGTATTCCGTTCACTTGAATTCGTTTTCCATCCATGTTTTCTTTTAGCTTCATAGGCTACACTCGCAGTTGAGTATAAATAGTAATCGATCAAAGAAGTTTTTGGATTTTGAAAACAATTTACTTCAGTTACAAAATAAAATCAATTTATTTACACTACGCATGTCTGATATAGAAAGGTTGAATGAAGAATCTAAGTCCATCTTTACATATATTAAGGATGGTAGGTTTTTAAGGTATCAATTTTTTTATATTTTTCAATTAGACTGCATGAGTTTTTATTATAAATTAGCTTTAACTGGAGGTTTAATATATCTCCCTAAATTAGAACTCCTTAATGGTGTTCACTCAGCGATAATCATTTTTATTTAAAGCCTGAGGAATCATAAGATTAAGAGTGAACGCCTAGTGTTAAGTCATTATTTCTATGCCCTGTATCATCTGTTAAACAACCTTGAATATACAGTTTCTGATGTTATTATGTGTAATACGTGTTTAAAGGTTTTGTGTCAATATAAATTGTTTCTATTAATAAGGAATACTATACAGTACTTTTTGTCTTAAAATTATTATTGTGTTGTGGGGATTGGGATAGAACGTTTTGATTATGTTTGGAGCTTCACATCATGAGACACATTACATTTTCTCTTTTAATCCAGACCAATCAGTCAGTACTAATATACCGTACATATTTAAATATAAAACTCATTGTGCTCAATATTATTAAACGTTTATTCACAGAATTGAAAAGATGTTCAGGAAGTGAAGAAATTAGGAAACATTGCCATGATGCAGTTATTGAACAGGTGAACTTTGCTATAACTAATCTCTCTCAGTCATTTTCAACTCAAATTAAAGAAATTGTCCTGGAGGTAAGATTATTCTCGATTTTTTCTCGCCTATCTGAGCAACAGATATTTACAGTTTTGTTTCCTGACGTTTTCATAGATATAGTATATCTAGACTATCTTGTACTATTATATATGTTTCAACAGATGGTGTTTTGGCAAGAACTTAGTCACTTGCAAAATCTGCACTGGAATATTTCTTTCGTTTTTTACCGGCCATTCTCGTCATGTGCACGACTGATAGTATATAGTGCGTGTTATCACCCAACTTTATCTTCAATTCTCCAGATGAATATTTTAAGTAACGTTTTCAGTTCTGCGAAAGTATAGACAAACATTCCATCATAGTTAATACTCAGTTCAATACAAACGGGTTGATAAGGGGCCTATTTAATAGGATTGATCGTGCTTTTACCAACGATACTATTGGAAACAGGGTGAGGCTACTAAGCAAAACATTGATGGGGAATGGGTATCTTTTAAAAGTCATAGATCATTGGAAAAGTTGCTGTGTAGTAAGACCTACCACACGTCTGGTACCAAAAGTCTGTCTATATCAGCCTACCTTCAGAGGCGAGTTAAATAGTTTTGTTGGTAAAACGCAACATGCAACAAAAGTCATCATCTCGAAAGAACAAAGGCAGGGTCAATAGTGTTTCATTTAATTCTGGACATGGGGCTTCATTTACAGGATCTTCTGTTTCTTGGTCATCTGGTGTTGTCACAGCTTCATGTGCATTTGGAAAGATATTGTCTTACTGTGAGCCAGACAAACTTTACATTTTGCTTCAGGTATAATCGGGATTTGAATCCTCCATATGTCACTCTTCTGAAATGGCCATTACTGTACCATTGTCTGCATCATAAATAAATTCTTTATTTTCTGGAATATCTGGTTGAGTGAAAAGTCTCTCCAAAATTGCTTCAAGTAGTTGCTGTCAAAAGGCTAACATCTGATGCTGCCGCTGTAATAATAGTTGCAACTGTTACAAAGAAATCGCCATTCTTTTTTACTGCCAATAATAATCTTAACTCTAACGTGTTCGCATTTCGCTTTTTATAGTTTTAAATATGTAACGATTTTCTTCTAGATCTTTTAGTAGTCCATTACAATAAACAATTCAGGGTAGTTTCGAAACATCTATTTTTTAACAATAATTCTTTGATAACTAATTTATTATTAATAATTCTTGATAAGTACATAACTCATTGCAAGACGGTTAACAGCACGAGTGTTTTATTTTAACTGTATGTATGTACGTTTGTCTTTGTAGTAGTGCATGTGGTTTCGTCTCTATGTTTGTCTTCATATCTAACTTTTCTTTTAAATAGACAATAATCAATGAATTAAGGGATAATGATAGTGTGGATAGTGCACTTCTCACTTACTTTAGACAAGCTATATACACGCTGGCTAGAGAATCCGTTGATAAATTAATTTACAGTAAGTTCTTTATTGATACCAAAGTTTGACTGAATAATTTCAAATAAACTGAGCATTGGATACAATGTTTTTGGTAAAATAACGACGTCTTTGTGACATTCTAATTAGTAAAAATGTGAGTTTCTGACGTTTTGTGACTTGAGTGTTTATTTATCTACTCTGAAATGGCTTATACTAAGTTACAAAATGTCAGAAATGCAGTTTCTGCTTATTGGGATATCATAAATATACTATTATTTTATCATTAAGTTCATTGTTGTTTTTGTTTAGTTATCTGTGTGTTTCAAGTTTTCATGGTATATCTTTTGGCGCACTCGCTTAAAACATTCTACTGTTTGTGGATATGCAACACGATTGTTTACAATACTGAGATGGGAGATTTTGTCCACATGTCAGGTAATCTTATTTGTGGTACACCGTAGTATATGAATGAAAGCAATCACAAGTCTTCCTAGTATCCCATTGAAATGTGCAAAACATTTTTCGGTTGATTTCTTGAGGTTATTGTCATTCACTCCTTTTTAAAAGTTGTTTAAGTAACTATAATAGTGGAGTTATTTTCATTCTTATTTAATAAAATATATTTCACTTGCCATCAGAATTAAATAGATATGTGATGGATTATTCAGTTTACTTGTAGTCGATTTTTATTTAGTACTACAGATAGAAAATACTTCTAAACTAAATTGTTTCTTAACCATAGTGTATTTTATATATATATATATATATATATATATATATATATATATATATATATATATATATATATATATATATATATATATATATATATATATATATATATATATATATATATATATATATATATATATATATATATATATATACTTTTGTAGCGACACTCAACTCAGGTAGGAATATTTCCTCAATCGTTTGGTTATTTTATTCGCTTAGCCTTATAAACCCGATTACTTAGCTGTTTTCTCACACTTCGACCGATGACTCACAATCAACACTTAGTAGTTCTGAACAAATGTATATGAATAAAAAACACAGGGGCTAGGAATTTGGTGTCTGTCTGCAGACGTCAACTAATCATCGTTTGAGTTCATCTACTCATGTATATGCAAGGATGATTATCAGGTATTTCTGATTTTGACAATTTTTTTTATAAAACGAAGTTTTCGCATAGTGATTACTTTCTTTTGAGAGCTTCATTTTGAGGTTTTATTTATTTTTCGTAGGTCGTCATTCGGAATTGGTCCCACATTCACTTGAAAATAAAGCAACTTTAGCTAAAATGATCGATGAAGCTCTTCATCGATTTGCAGCTGATAGGACCGGTCTTACAGATTATGCTTTAGAATCATCTGGAGGCTCTATTGTTGGCACGCGTTGCACAAAAACATATACCGAAGGTGCATCATTATTAAGTATTTTTGGCTTGCCTTTAGCCCGTCTTAGCAATTCCCCTCGGTAAGTTGTGTATTTTGATTTTTATGATACACTTTTTTTCTCGTTCTAATGTTTCAGAGTAATGTCAGTTTTAATTAGAATCGGAAACATTTCCCAGATAAAAACAGTCGTGTTAGCTCCGTTCTTTAAAGGGCCTTACCGCCGGAGACGGAAATCCGTGAGGTAAGGTGAGGTGTGCATTTTTAGGGTCGACCTTTTCTAACCCCACCCCTCCTTGTGGGAAGGCAGCATCGCTGTCATGCTGGTTGTCTGAAGGAAACACCTTACTGCCGTCACACCTCTGCACAGTCAGCAGCACGACTTCGCCTTCGGACCTTGGGTTTGTTGCTTTTAGTCTTACCGCTCTTCAACCGACCTGTCTGACATGGTAGGACCTTGAGGAACGGTTGTTCCAGCCAGTATAGCTCGGTTGCTTCATCACGATAGGCAAGCCCGACCACCACGTCAAGGTAGCAACAACGGTCGGGAAACTGTTCTTATAGTTTTAAAGCACAACACGTTTTCGAGCATGAAACCTCGATCGCCTTTTTATTCCTACTGAATAGAACCATAAATATGTTGTTTTCTGCTTTCATCGACATATTCACTTATTTTCATTTACATCATGAACATACCAGGAATAGACGTCGATACTGTCTAGTGCCATAGTTTGAATGATCGCTTTTCTCATTACTTGTTTACAGAACAATCCTCCAACCTGGTAATAATCCTGGGGACTGTTGGCCATTTCACGGAAGTAAAGGTCAAGCTATCATTCGTCTATCGTCTCCAATTATTATCAGTTCGGTGACTTTAGAACACTTACCAAGGGAACTCGCGCCAAATGGAAGATTGGACTCAGCCCCGAGAGATTTTCTTGTAAAGGTGAGTGGATCCACACAGTTGGTGTATATTTTCTGTCGATATATCAATTGAATAATGAATACGTTTATTTCAAATTACTGGAATGGATAATTGTAAGAGTAAGGACAATAGTCTATCTGTATCGTTCCGGTATTTATTCTAAGGTGTGCATGTATTTTGAGTTATAATTCGACTTAAAATGGGTTGGATTATCCACTTGTTATTTTTGACTGAAATCTGATTAATGTTGGCTGGGATATGAGCATCCTGTGAGAATCGCTTGGAATGAACATCAACGAGAGAAAACCCGCGACCTGGATTCCACTTCTAGCCATATCCCATCTATTTTATATCACCGTCTGAGTTGAATTTTATTTGCATGAATAATAAATGTTTTTGATTGTCTAGTATTAAAAAAATTGAAGTCCAATGCGTATAGTGTTATTACAATATCATTTTCTCATCAATGATCGATCTACTGATGATCCAAACATAAATGTAAGTGTTCTCTAGAGGCCAGTTATCTTAAGAAAGTATATTTTACGGTGATCATTCTTTTAGAAAAGATTCTTCTTTGTAGTAATTTCTGTTCAATTGCTAGGATTAGTATTTTTGTATTTTACCTCAAGAATAATTATTAGCGAACGCTGTGTAATCGTGGATTTTCTTTATTTTACGATTTTAGGCACTTCAATCAGAATATGATGATGGGGTAGTTTTGGGAGAATTTACCTATAATGTGGATGGTAGACCTATACAAAATTTTCCTATAAGGGCAAGTTTAATTAATTATCGTATAAGACATGAAACTTACGGACACGTGTTTCTATAAGCTTTAACAGAGATTTAAAAAGGATTTTAGGTATACGTAACCAACTGAATGGACATTGTTGATTGAGAGTTTTGTTCGCCATAATGTTCATTGTTTGTAAGACAAAAAAGGTGCCCAGTGACCGTTGGTTATCCAGTTTGTATCATTTCATAGTGGGATCTACCGTAAATAAGTCGGGGATGGCAATAGTGCATAATAAAGCTATTGTTCTTCTTATCAAAGTACACAGATATATCTGGACTCATTGACCCTAAAATGTCAAGAAACCAAGGTTAGCCTGCCTTTACATCTTACTGTGTTAGTCTTCAAAATATATTTACCATGAGCAAGCTAAAAGGTTACAAGTTTTATGTTTGATGCAATAACACTAAATCAATTTCGAATTAAAATGCCAAAAAAAATTCAAAATTATTCTTTCTGCCATGTATTTACAATAAGTGTACAGAGAGTGAGGAAATCAAAGTTTTAAATTAGATTAGTGAATCCGCCTAATCAACGTCCTGTTATTTTGACACTAATAAAAGATTCTACATCGATTGTAGGCAATTAGGTTATCACAATATGCCAAGAATTAACCATAATATTACCTTCACTTTTCGTTGTCATTCGTTCTGTCGTTCCTGGAGTATTCCCTTTATCTTATCATTCGAATTGGCGGATAACAAACATTTCTTCGTTAAACAGTGAATAGGCTTGACAAAAGAATATTATGCGTTCATTGGGCTCGGATGGTAAGATATAGTATGAACTAGTGTGACTAGTTATTTGTATGGTCGATTAGTAACTTTAACGAAGATTATTGAGATTAAAATCAGTTATACGTATATAAGATTACAGAATAAATTGACTGATTCTAAGGATTATTGTATGGCTAATCGAGTATTGCATCTTCTCACACTTCCGTCTCAAACTCGCGCTTCAAAATAATGCGAAAAGTACTGAACTCTTGTGGACGACTCATTCGATAAATAATAATCTTTTGAGATGGTCAAACGTTGTCGTGTCACTGTTGACTAGGAGATAAATTTAAGATGTATATAAGTACAATCAGGATGATTATGTTGGATCGGTCAGGCCGCCGGAATATATCAATTCAAATTATTTATATGAAATTCTTGCATGGTATCATACAGAATAGGAGTGAAATTACTCTTAGGTCAGATTATCACGGAGTTACGTGGTAATAAGAGCTGGACATTTATACACAGGGGATTCAATAACTTTTCTGAACCAGACATTTAACTTTTAAACGCCATACGTACAATTAAGTCAATACAATTAGTTTGCATGGTATGTGGAATTTAAATAATTCTTTATTTGTTTCCTTAGGAATACTCAAAAGCTGTCCAATTTGTCGAGCTTGTCATATTGAGTAATCACGGACATCCTAAATATACATGTATTTATCGCTTTCGAGTTCATGGCAATATGATTACATGACCGAAATTCAGCAATACTTTGTAGATACATATAAATAATACATCACCCTTCATACTGTTCTGTACACACTGTGCAATGACTGTTTTCTAGACGAAATGATTCCTATACCTTCATGTCGTTCTCCTTATCAAACGCTTTACTCTGTATTTAAGTATTTTACACCTATAACATCTTAAACTATTTGATTTTCTTGCTTGTTTCATGTTTAAATATATTTGTTATGTTGTAACCAATACTTCTCTATAAATAAGTTAATACGACGCAAAACCCTAAAAAAATCTTTCTTAAACTTCAGCTTCTTAGAAAATACATTTTCGATAACCAAAGAGATGTATTTGTTTTGAAAACAATCTCGTATTACAATAATGCGAAAGTCCCATACACTAAGTTAAGTGCAAATTAGCTCCCAGTTCATTTACTTTTAAAGATAATTTTCCCACGGTCACCATGATTGCTCACCTACGTAAGCGAAAGCAGCAATAAGTGGTTCGCCAAGATAAAGAGAGTACTCCATTAAAGTAAAGTGAACAGTTGACTGATGAACTTGACGACAAATGAAATATTTATTCTGAATGTTAATCAGGTTGTTATGCACATTATCGCAAACTGAGCACTTTTATGACTACAAATACTTAGTTTTTCATTACCGTAAAGTCTCAGATGAGAGAAGACTGTGAAATATCTTTACACTACCTTGAAGCTATTTCGATGTGGTGATCGTAATTGCTTATCGCAGTGAACCAGATATGTTATACTGTCTGGAACAATCGTTCCTCAAGTTCCTACCATGCCAGACAGGTCGGTTGAAGAACGGTAAGACTAAAAGCAGCAAACTCAAGGTCCGAGGGTGAAGTCGTATTTCTGACTGTACAGAATTGTGACAACCGTAAGATGTTTTCCCCAAACAACCAGCGTAACGGCGATGCTGCCTTGCCACAAAAAAGGGTGCGGTTAGAAAAGGTCGACCTTAAAAAGACACATCTTACCCCACAGATTTCCGCCTTGAGCGGTAAGGTCTCAACAGGTACAGAGCCAACACGGCAATTAGCCACAAAAAGGTCGTGTGTGACCGGTCTCAGACAGTTGTGCATTATGCACTGTGTCACACTCTCAAGTCACGAAGACCATCCCTGACGCAATTTCCTTTCCAGGTACCTTCGGAAGAGCCCTTCCACGTTGTGGGCACCTGTGAAGTGATAACCGCCCTCACGGCACTCAAGACCATTGTATTTATAATCGATCTACCTCTTCGCTTCCTATTATTCTTCCTAACTTCAAACTTCCCAGGTGCCACCGTGGACAGGTCTACTAAAGCCTCGCTACAAATTATATATCGGAGCCTTCTATGTCGAATCGGCCAGCAGACCTCTTTGGCTAAGACCCTAGTCATTGATGTATGCTGCGTCTCTGAAACACAAATGCAGGATCCTATTGTGGCCATTCACTTGAACTCACCTCGCCAAAACGGAGAGCCGACGAGATACATCCTCCGTGTTTCTGGGGACACAATGGTTAGTTCTTGTAGACTGGCAGGTGCATGCATAACCTTAAGTACGAGATCAGAGGATGCACTATTAGAATGAATTCCCGTTAACAGTCGCCTATGTGCTGTCCGGTTGAACGGCTCCGTAAGAATTTGGAAGGATAAAGACACATCGTTGCTTTTTCAACATTTCTGCCTACACTCCCACTGACTGCAGCTCGGATAAAGTGAAAGATGAATTTTACAGAAATATTTCCGAACTTCGAAAAGCTAAACACTCAGACATAGTACTCGTGGCAGGTGACTTTAATGCCTACGTAGGTAGCCTCAACTAAACAGAAAGACACTCAAGTGGGTATTATAGTATTCCGGCTCAGAGAACAGGTTATGGTGACCGTCTGTTGCAACTGTGTTTAGACAATCGTTCATTTTTAGCAAGCACTAATTTTAAACATAAGAAAAGACATCGCCCAACATGGTGACCACCTGCACCAAACTGACGACAGATTCAAGTAGACTATATTGACATCAATCATCGGTGGAAAGGCTTTGTTGGGGGCTCCAGCTCGTTCTGGAATACATGCTTGAACTCTGATCATGATGTGATACGAGCAGGCATTTAGTTGCGCCGTACTGGACGCAGAAAAACCAAATGAGGAAGACCCATTGGACGTGAACTCAGCCGCGAGGAAGACAAAGGTAAATTCCATGGACAACTTAAGTCACACTTAGGCAATTTTAAAAACAAGGCGGACGAAGATTGCTTGGAAAGTTATACGAACAAGTGTGGAAATTGCAGCAAAACATGGCATAGTAAATAAAATGACTAACTTCTGGTTTGATCCATGTGGATAGATGCAGACTACTTGGTTATGGTCCGCGCGACTATCGTAACCAATGGTTGGAGACTGGGTGACATGGCCCAGGATCGAATACAATGGCGAACGTGTACACTCTTTGTCTTCTCTAAAATTGGGATTAAAACTACTTTATACCTTCCGTGTCTACGAACTAATTCTTTCTCCCTGTATATTACTCTTATATGCAGTCTTATTTATTTATGATTAGGTTGCTATGAATTTGGCGTACATTTTGTTGTTGTTGTACGTTAGTTTTGACCTGGTTAACAACAGTCATTCGGAACTAAACATAGTCAAACCTGAGACTCCCAAGTTACGCTGCGAACACGTAAAGGTAATCTACAGGAACAGAAAAATATACTTTCACCTTAACACGTCACAAATCAACCGAACTAGTCAAGTGGAAATTACTAAATACTTGTCAAACCGAAATTACTTACTTACCATATTCGTAAACCAGGCATGAACAATCCCGTTTTTCCTTACTCCTGCAACTGTGGTATTGGTTTTATGTTGCCACTGTCACATCGATCCTATTAGTACTTAATTCCATGAAAAGTTTATGTACTTTCGAGTGAGTTTAGATAAATCTTTGAAATTTATTTGAACACAGATATTGGCACAAGGACGCACCAAATACGCATGCGCCACATAAGTCTCATTTGATGTGTGTGAAGGCTGGGATACTGCTCGACAGGCTAGACCGAAGTAAGAGGTTTTCTTAGGGGGCCACACCCGAAGCCTTTGACCTGAAAGTCTGATCCACAAGGTAGTGGAGCATCGTGGAGAGATGCAGTCCCATGGTAACCGGTGACCAACGATTGGCCCATACTCCATTTGTTCCCTCAGGATACCCGAGCCGATGCGCACCATTGATTTGGAATCAGGGTTTTCCAACTCCCCTACGTGGATTCTCCATGTCCACCAATCCGGTTAAGGCGCCGGACATCCGCCTTTCGTCCTCTCACTTTCGTAAACAACACCATCGCAACGAGAATGCAGTGAATAGGACTTCCCTGGTAGAGGCTATATACGCGTGGCCATGTGAGAGCATTTCAAGAAGGACTCTTCCCACACTCGGCCGTACCAGGGCATTTGGGAGCGAATCTTTAAACATGACGAATAAAATCTCTTGTGGATTTAAGAAGCGCTTCGCTTACAATCGCTGGATCTTTGCAAGCACATCAGTCTAACCTGGCTGGCTGACTGCTAGTTTGATGATAAATGTAGATCCCTAAGCAACGAAACAACAGCTACATCTGATAACTCCTGGAGGCTGTACTAACTCATCTGAACCACTGGCCACAAGAAGTTTGGCGGGATTGAAAGAACATCAATCAATAAAATTTATCTCCCTTTTTCATAACAGAGAGTTTATTGAAGGACAGTTTGACTAATCGTTTGTTTTAGAAACGCTGATCAGATTATGAAATCGCCTACAACCTGTGACGACTGATCTACATAGCGAGGCAGATATTTTTTATTATTTATCAATAAAGATCTATATTTTGAATAAGTAGTCGAGATAGCCAAGGCTTGATCCCGAAAACAACAGATATTACTATTTCGAATGTTATGTAAACTGGTATAGTATTTTGTCAATTATGACAGTGGTCATTATTAACATTTGTGACTTGTGTAAAATATATAAATTTGTAGTTTACATTTTTAACTGATCTTAATTAGACAACTATTCAAAACTAGGAAGCACTGGACAACAGTTTTGTTCAAGCACGGTGCTTTTCAACAGTATCCATCCCCGATCCAAACTCTTAACACTCAGAGAGCTCTTAACTTTCTGAACACTGAGTTAGCATCCAGTAATGTGTTTGTCTAACTTCAGTCGGTCAGTGACATTGCGTAATCTCGGTTAAATTCTATTTTAAAGTAGCTGTCTCAATCTCGATATGGTTGGACTCTTTTCCGTTACTATTATTATTTGATTTTGTAAATTACTTACTTACTTACGCCTGTTACTCCTCGTGGAGGAGCATAGACCGCCCACCAGCACTCGCCATCCAACCCTGTCCTGGGCAAACCTTCCCAGTTGTCATCCATCCTTTTCATATCTCCTTCCATTTCCCGATGTAATGTGTTCTTTGGTCTTCCACTTTTCTGCTTACCTTCAGGATTCCAAGTAAAGGCTTGCCTCGTGATGCAGTTTGGTGATTTCCGTAGTGCATATCCTATCCACTTCCAACGTATTTTCCTAATTTCCTCTTTAGCTGGAAGCTGGTTTGTTCTCTCCCACAGCAGGCTGTTGCTGATGGTATCCGGCCAATGGATGTTGAGTATCTTGCGTAGATAACTAATTATGAATACTTGTACTTTTTTGATAATGGATGCAGCAGTTCTCCAAGTTTCAGCTATGTATAGTAAAACTGTCTTGACGTTCGTATTGAAGATTCTCACTTTGATATTGCTTGAAAGTTGCCTTGAGTTCCATACATTCTTCAATTGTAGGAATGTGGCTCTTCCCTGGCAATCCTACCCTTTATGTTTGCATCCGATCTTCTTTTATCATCAATGATGCTTCCTCGGTACGTGAAGGATTGCAAATCTCCCAGAGTTGCTTCCTCAAGTGTGATTGTGTTGGTGTTATCCGTGTTGTATTTGAGGGTCTTGCATTTTCCTTCGTGTATGTTGAGGCCTCCTGA